GAAGAACGGCTTCTACTGTACTATTTTAGATGCGATTTTTTGTTTTCAACTACGTTTAGTTTTCATTGAGTACTTAGGTGTATTAAATTGATAACATTTCAGACATTGTTATAAATATTTTTATATATTTCGATTTTTTAACCAAATGTTTGAACCATTTTAAATTTGAATTTGTTATTGCATATTGGTTCAATTATAGAATGATTGTAAACGTTCCAGAAAATTGATCAAACTGAAAACAGTTCATTTGATTCTCAGCAATTCTCATCATTCTCGGCAGTAGGTGTTATACAGGGTGTGTTTTTTTTTAAACTGATGGTACACAGAGACATCTGTGGAGAAATCTAACAGCTGGACTGTCGCTGAATTTGGGAGAGTGACTAAGAACAACATGGGAAAGAGATTCTGCGAAGGGAAAAAAGTAGTACCTAAATTTGCCAGTAGGGATGGATTTGGCAGTGTTGTAGCAAAACAGCTAAGAATTTGCATAAAACCCAGTTGCAATTAAACACACAAATGAATAATCAGACAGAGGTTTCAGTGCAATAATGAAAGTTTAATTAATCAGCAAATAATTTTCTCCCTCCTTCAATGTGACCACCGTCCTGCTGGACAACACATTGCATCCTGAACACCGTGTTCTCCATGATTGAATGTAACATGTCTGCAGAAATGTTCATCACAGCCGAGAAATGTTGTCCTTCAAGGTCATCAAGTTGGGGACATCACCAAGATAGACCTTGGACTTTAAGTAACCCCACAGGAAAAAAGTCACATGGGATTAGATCAGGGGATCAGAATCTTCAACGAGTGCAATCACAACATCACCGTCTGTGCAGACACTGGTTTTTGCCCTCTACCAGGACGAACTGCTTCAAATTTTTTTTATCAAGCCTTTCAATGCATTAATTGATAGAGGACCTCTGCGCAGGTTGTTACAGGTTCTAAACTCATTAAGAGTGCCAGTGCACTCGATTGGTTAAGATAGTAAAGTTTCACAAACAACTCACGCTGAGGTAATGAAAGATGCACGTTGAACTCTGCTGAAGTCTGAAATGCGCTTTGAACTTTTGTCCTTGTCTTTTAAGCTCAAATTAGGTGGCGCAGCTGTTAACCATGTCATTGCGAATTTGGATTTTGAGGTGTTACCAGCGCGTTATGCAAATTCTTAGCTGTTTTACTACAGCAGTGCCAAATCCATCCCTACTGGCAAATTTAGGTACTACTTTTTTTCCTTTGTGGAATCTCTTTCCCATGTCATTCTTAGTCACTCTCCCAATTTTTTTGGCGACAGTCCAGCTGTTAGGTTGCTCTACAGATGTCTCTGACTACCATCAGTTTAAAAAAAATACTCTGTATAATAATTACTATGGTTGTTGAAATACTGAATATAAATTGGGGTTTGCTTGCAAAGCCCCCGCAGGCAAAGTCACGGGTAACAGCTAGTTTTTAATATATATCTTGCCCAGCATTATTAATATGATTTTGGAGGTTACAGAACGAATTAAATTACTTTAAAAAATGAAAAGTAATTATATCATTTGATTTCAAGATATTTTGTATATCTTAAAAATAATTAATTCTATCCTGGGATTTCCTGGGAAACAGTTCACTTTTATCCCGTAATCCCAAGACAAGCAAAAAACCAGGAAATGATAAATCTTAGACAGCACTATGAATGAGTCCTGATGTCATTACCTTCCATCATATGACCACAGACAGCCGACACAAAAAGTTTGCAACTGATGTTTGTTGTTGCTGTGAGTGAATTTCTCATTAAAGAGGAAATCTCTGCTGCAGAAATTCAACAGAAACTTCAGCATGCATATGGAAATGTGTGTATGGGTGCCAGCAATGTTAGAAGATGGGTAAAACATTTTAAAGATGAAAACCAAAGCATTAAAGAACCTCATAGTGGCCATTTGCAGAGCTCCATTATGAGCTTTGTTTCCTGGGATGCAGATGGGGTGATTCATGTGAATTTCTTGAACCTGAGCAAACCATTAATAATGGTATGTCATGGCACTTCATACGCTCTGTTGTGCATTTCATGATAAATATTCTGGGAAGATAATCCTGCAGCACAACTAAGCAAGATCATACACTGCTCCTTACACATGGAGGAAATTCAATAAATGGATGAGAAGTTCCACTGCATCCTGCCTAGTCTCGAATTAGCATACTCTGATTATCATCTTTGTGAAGCAGTGTTGTGAAGAAAAACATGTGAGGCCCACACTATGAAAAGATGAAGGACATCAAGAAAACAGTGTGTTAGGTTTTCTCAGTGCTGGAACGGAGTTATATCATAAGGGAATTTTCAAGCTCCCACAAGGCAGGAAAAATGTATTAAAAAAAATGGAGACTATATGAAAAAATAGTCTGAAAAATAATGTAATATATTTGTTTTTCCAAAAATAAGTTAACTTGATTTATAAAAAATTGTTGCTCATGACTTTCAGTATGACCCTTGCACTTAATTACATAGTAAATTATACAAAAATCTAAAAATCTGTATCAACAAATCAAAGAGTAATTTATTGAATCTAGTTATCTGAATATGTAAGAAGTTCAATCAAACTTCTTTAAGGAAATTTCTGTTTATTCTTTTATAATGCATGCTGGCTGGAAAAAGATAACATAATAAATGAAATTATATAATGATTATACTTACATATAAACATTATAAAATCACATATAATATGATAATCATTAACATTAGTAATGTAGTGCTGCACTACTTTAGTATTGTTGTTTATGTATGCTTAGATATTAATATAATTTGTGTATATAAATTATCTTCCATTACCACGTGTCGGGATCTACTTTTTGTATAATTGTCCACAGAATATTATGTTGTATCACTTGTCTTGCTACACCAACTAGTGTAGACTAATTGGTCAAGAACGAGGTCACATGTTAAGTGAGTATGCATGAATGAGGGAGGAGTATAAATTGGACTATCTCGTGTGTTGAAGGAATCTTTCTTGGTTTTGCTTTGCGGTCCGATATAGTTTGTCTGGTAGCAGGAGATAGAAGAGTCAGCCAAGGAATGAATACATCGAGTGGAGGTACTATATCGTAATCCATTTCCATCCTTAAGAACTTATCAACAGCTTTGTGGTGTGTATGTACGGACAGTTTATAGTTAATGGACCCAAGTAATATTGATATTGTAAACGTATGATATATATATGAAATATGTCTACATATAGAAGATGCATTAGTGGAGAGTCATGAACTGTTGTCTGACGATCGAAGATTTGGAAGTTCATCTAATAGAAGAACAAAGGAAGGTTGTGGCAGCACGTGTTTATCGTCTTGTAAATAATTGTGTGTAGATTTAATGCGAATTAGTTTAGTATTTTAGTAATAAGTTTAGAATTTAATGTTTGTCATTAGAACTACATTGTGTTATCACTAAACTGTAGCACATTTGTACCTTGTAAGCCATACTGATAGTTTGCACTGATCCTTAGTTGTTATTAAAACCATCAATTTTGTTCTAATAGAATTGTGCAGTCCTTAAATCAAATAACATACACCTAGACTTAATATATTCCGATATATTAAAGATCTAAACAGTAATCTCAAGATCATAAAATTTCCAAAAACATATTAATGTTTCATATGCAATTAGTTAATATTTTAATACATCCTGAAACTAAGAGGGAGCAGTTAATTTTATGTTAAAAATGAAAGTTTTCCTAACAGTATTTCAAAATAGCAATCAAATATTCTTTGAACAACCCAAACTATCATAAGTTAAAAAAAAATGTTTTTTTACCAGAAGAAAAATGAACTAAGAATACTACTTTTTGAATATGAATAATTACATCAAAACAGGAGTAAGAAGATAAAAAATATATAAACAAAAAATAAATAAAAATTAAAGCAATTTTCAAAGAAATAAACAGAATGAAAATGAAAATATTTTCATAGAAATAAATTTTATCAATAATTATGATATTTACAAATAGAGCAAAATTTTAAAAAATATAATAAGATATGTAAAATTATTAGGGAGACATGAAAATTAATAATTCAAGCTTCTCACCTGAACTATTTCCAGAATTTGACAATGTTAAGCCTGTTGTGACATTCTGTCCTGTAAGGCTTTGAAGACCCAGAGAGTTTAACCCTATTATCAATAAACAATCCATCAATATCACATTCTATAACAATTTATAATTCCATAATTTTCATTAAAATTTATAAGAATGATTTGATAGACTGAGAAAATGATTATGAACCAAGCAAAAGAGATTCTATAATAAACATTATGTTTTATGTTCATTTTGAACTTAGTTAAGATATAAATTGCATTAATTTATTTATGCATTTTTATTTATGTATATTGATTGACATTGAAACACAAATCAATTAAATTTTAAAGTCAATGTAATTAAATTTAACTTTATTGAATAACTATAAAATTTTTAATTATCCTAATATAAATTATAAAAAAGAAATACACTCACACATATATATATATATATACTGTTTAATTAATAAATCCATTAACCCTTAAATTTAAAGAAAATCCAATTCTCTAAAAAGCACACTAAAGACCCAAAATCAATATTACAAAAGCAAAATATAAGAATTATTAACTCAGTGTATTTGTTTCATGAAAGAAGAAAACTTGAATTAAATATTAAATTGTCATCTATTCTATATTTTATAAAAACTTTTAATGACTTTCAAATTATTAGCAACTTTACTTTATATAACCATTAATAATTTAATTTTAAAAATATATAAAAACCAATAAATTTAAGATGAATTAATGAATAAATTCTTTCATTTTTGTAGTTGTGGCTTTCATTTTTTAAACTGTACATTTTTTGAAAACAATTATCATTCAAAATTAAGCTGATGTAATAAAAATTATTCTCTAAAATATTCTTTATATTGAAGCTTTAAATAATTTAGGGAACAAAGGTATATTCAATCAACTAAACTTTTTGAAACAGAAAAATCAAATTTACAACTTTTTATCTTATATGAAAATAAAAAGCAAGCATAAAATTATAAAAAAGACAAATGAAAAAATTTCAATTTTTTGTGCATATAAAAGTTATTGTATCTCAAAAAAAGGAGATAAGAAATTAAATTAGTTTTGCATTTTAAAAAAGCAATTTGATAACAGCTTTGTTACAAAAAAGTAAAAAATTTGAAATCTTTGGTACACAACTGTATCCAATATATTGGATAGCAAGCTAATAGTAACCTAAGGCAATAGATCTAAATTTGTTATTTCCTGGATTTTATTTGCACAACACTTCTTGAAATAGCTTTGTGTGTCTCTCCCGGCAGATTTTCTTAGAACAAGTTTAATCTTCACATAAGTGGAATTCATCCCTCTGAGATAGGTAATCATATTGGATAATTATAAACTATTAAAATGTATGGCTTTTTAATATATGCATTAAATTAATTTCTTGATAATTTTATTGATATTATCAAAAATTTGCAATTTTTATTTATATAATTTCATTGCAAAAATCAAATTTTTATAACTATTAATGTTAATCGTTCATTCATTATTACTGGTAATTCAACTTTACTATTACAAATAATGAAAACTTTAATTTTAATTAACAACATTCATGCAAACAATGGTTGATAAAAGATTTAAAATGTTAAAAAAATATATGTAACTTTACTTATGACAATTTTTTATCATATTACATGTATTTAATAATAGTAACAACATTGAAATAAGCCAAATGATTTTACACAGCACACAACTTTCAAAAGACAATGCAACAACAAATAATGAAAATAAATACATCTTTATTACAGTTTTAGAAAATCAATATATTAACATTTCATTTTGTTTCTGTTAATTTTAAATATTTAGTTAGTTACATTAAAATATTTTTCTTACCTGTATTTGTGTTACCAGCACCAGCTTGAGCAGCTGCTAAAGCTGCTAATTGTTGTTGAACAGATAAAGAACCTACATCTAAAAAGTGTAAAATTTTCTTATTAATGACAAAAAAATATAATTTTAAAAATTAATTAAGTATAACTAATTTATTTAAATTATTTATAGTATCTTTTAAATGACTTAGCTATTATTTTCTTAATGATTAATATTTAAATATAAAATTATTCACATAAAAATTTTTGTTACAAAAATTATCTGAAGGATAAAATATGGCAACTGTTACTTATGGAAATTTTTTATTTTTTTTTTGAAAAAATACAGGAGGACAATTTTAGAGAAATATTTTCTAATGGAAAAAGTGAATTTTAAAACAATGAAAAGATAAGAGCATAACAAAACTTTTCATATAACTCATTTTTTATTTAATGACAAATGCAAATATTTTTTTTGCTAAATTCTTTTAAATAAATGTTAACTGATATGGGTTTTACTTACTTTATCATATAGATCTACTGAATAAAGTATAACAATATCATGTCTAAAATATTAAGTAAAAAACTAACAATTTTATGATTCTTTCTATTTGGCATTATCATTCTTTGTAAAAATAAGCTACTGAAGAGAAAAAAAAAAATGAAATGCAATCAATCAACTTTTGTATTAAGACTGAACTTATTATAATAACTAACAAATTATTTTAGCTTGTTAAAAGCTACCTTCAGGCTATATCTATATTTGGGTATTTATAAAATTGAAATTTAAACGTGTATTTTATTATATTTTTTTTAGTATGTAGAATTTCTAAATTTTTATATTGAGTATTAATCTAATTATTCAATATCCAATTTTTCAAGCTAGATAATACAAAGATAGGTTTTAAGATATAAATTTGCCAGATAAAGTTTTATACTAAACTATTAAAACTGATGTATATTTCTTGTTTTGGATTTATTATATTATTATTTATATTAATGCCAAAGCCAATTTTAAAAAAATCAGCCTGACTCAATTGCCTTTTTTTGAAAACAAAATTATTATTATTAACAGTATATAAATGTATGGAACTGATACTAATAGCTAATAGATAAATTTATAAAAATAAAAAAAATTAAAGAATAATGACATACTGTGAAAGCCAATTTTTTCTAAAGCCATAAAGTTAAAAACCATTTTTCTGTTAAATATCTGATTATTTCACCATATTTTTTAAACAGTTTAAGGGAATAAATCTTTCCTATGTTCAACTACTATTAAACATTATCAAAAAAATCAAATGCCTAAAACTTTCATATTGGTATATATGTTACTGCTAAAGCTCGAAATCCGTTAATGTGCACATTACCTAGCTAATCTGCAGATTAAGTAGGGTGATCTGTTAAAAGTTGCTAAAATTGTTCTATTTCTCAAATTACCTAGGTAATGTGCAGATTATCTAGGTAATCTGCAAATTATCTACTAAGCACTCAGTAAAGTGAAAATAAGATCTTTGCTGGAACAACAGCAACGTTTCTGTATGCTTAAATTAACACAATGTTCTTTATTTAATTTTTGATATCTAAAGAATCAAACAATCAAACAATACAATACAAACTAATACAATCAAACAATCAACAAATTAGTTGATAGAATCAATCATTAACCAATTAAAAAACATACAAAAAATCAAACGGTTTAAAATATTAATACAATTAAAAAATTATTATATGGAATTTCGGGACTTTGAGTATCTATCTGAACTGAGGGGACCGAGACGACTTTAATTAACAATACCCTACTTTTGGACCGGAGACGAAAAATAATAAAGTTATCATACCTTTTCTGGTGATCGCATGATATAATTGTGCAGTTAATGTTACCTATGGTGAGTAAAATGGCGGCTCGTCTCTGATTCCAGCAAAGAGAAGAAAGGAAACAGTGGGAACGCATGTTCTAACCTAACCTAACCTAACCTATTCTAATAAATTACCATAATTATTACCAGCCAAATTATTAGAATAGGTTAGGTTAGGTTTGAACATGCGTCCCCACTGTTTCCTTTCTTCTCTTTGCTGGAATCAGAGACGAGCCGCCATTTTACTCACCATAGGTAACATTATCCAATTGTGCTTACTTATTAGTGACGTCTAAAGATTGGTGACACTTTGAATTTCATAGAAATTGGTTTTTGTGACAAGCACATCTATTTGTGGTACATTTATTTGTGGCAAAGATGTTATTTTCACTTTAACGAGTGCCTAGTAGGTAATGTGCGGATTACCTAGATACTCTGCACATTATCTAGGTAATTTGAGAAATGGAACAATTTTCACAACTTTAATGAATCACCCTAGTTAATCTGCAGATTATCTAGGTAATGTACACATTAACGACTTTCGAGCTTTAGCACTAACATATAAATATGATTAAAAAATAGTTCTTCAACAATGCTTGTTAAGGTAACCATGTATTTTATTTATGAAAAATGTTTTTGGCTTTATTTGTCATCTTCAGTTTACAACTTAATTCAATGAACATTCAAACATGAAATTTAAAACTTTTATAAAATTTTTAAAAATTTTAAAAAAATCTTTAAAAACCTAAATATTAAAAAATTTTAAAATATTAACAATACATCCCAAATTGTCAACATTAACAACAAAATTGTCAATCTTGTAAAAATTAAGTTATTAACAGTCCAATGTGATATTACAAAGACTTTCTTTTTTATAAGGTATAATTAATTATTTTGTCAGAAATATTTTAAAAATGTTTTAAAGTGTTGTCAATTATTAATGTCCAGCTGTTACTTAGTTCCCTAGCATCATTAGTGTTTATAATTTTTAAGTATTTTGCAAACCCATAAATGTAAACCTGATCCATCAATCTTTCATCAATCTGTGAATTCCTTTCCTACACACTTTCTAATTAAGGGCTATTTTTTCCCACTTGACCTTGATGCCACACTGCCATGCCCATTTTGTTAACAAAGTGGATGTAAAAATAAACAAACACCTTTCTCTATTCCAGCACAATTTTAATGCGTTGAAAAATGCTTTCGGTCATTTTAATAGATCTTCTTCAGTTCAAAATTCAAACTATATAACGAACAAAGTTTGTTCGTTATATAGTTTGAGTTTTGGCTTTATTTGTCATCTTCAGTTTACAACTTAATTCAATGAACATTCAAACATGGAATTTAAAACTTTTATAAAATTTTTAAAAATTTAAGTTTTAAATTAAGTTTTTTAAATTTAAGTAAATTTGAATTTAAGTTGTAAACTGAAGATGACAAATAAAGCCAAAATTCAAACTATATAACGAACAAAGTTTGTTTGTTATATAGTTTGAATTTTGAACTGAAGAAGATCGATTAAAATGATCAAAAACGTTTTTCAACTCATTAAAATTGTGCTGGAATAGAGAAAGGTGTTTGTTTATTTTTATTTAATATTTCCAGTAAGCATTTAGTTATTTATTTAAAGTGAATGTATTCTGCCTACCTTTAGCCATAGATTTAGAATACTCTCTAACTCTTATTGCTATCAACCACTATGTGGTTGATAGCAATAAGAGTTATAGCAATAAGAGCAATAAGAAACACACACAACCACAACTACATAAAAATAATGTTATTTATCATTACATAGTGTGTTTATGACTGTAAGATTGTGTTTAACTTCTAGTCTAAGATCTACTTTATCTTTCTTTTTGCTTTTATCCTTTGTAGTCTTGTTCTGTTTGAAACATGAATTGATGAACTGCTTATTATCCTACTTGGAACCTTATATGAAAAGCTGTCTTCAATTATAATTCTTTATTTCTTCTGTAACCAAAGAAAATTGTAAGGATGTTCTATTAATAATGGCTCTATAAGCAGCTACAGTAAAACTTATCTAACTTGACGCTCCAAGTGCCAGTAAAAAACTGAGTTGGACAATTTAAGTTAGAGAACAACAGAATAAAAAAAATGTTGATTCTGAATAGACTTGTATCTTTACCTCTGTTGCATTATATGAAGAATCTTTGATACTGTTTTTTTTTTTTTTTTTTTTTTTGTTTTAAGCAATTGTATAATGCCTTTCAGCAAAATGTTCAATGTAACTAATGGAATTGAGTAGTTTTGCAGGCACAGTACATCTTGTTGAGATAAAATGAGAGGACAAATACTGTCTGCAAATGAATGTTGACTAGTATCAATAGATACAACTGTCTAAAACTTTCATGGAAATCTGATAATTATGATCACTTTGGATAGAATAAATATTAAAATTTGAGTCAGGGAAATTGAAATGAACATAAATCAGTGCCCAGGGACCATAAAAAACTTTGACTTGGAGAAAATTCAAAATAAGAAATTCAAGTTTGATATGTTAAATCCCTATGAGATCTACCAAGTACTTTGTTTTCTACGAGTTACAGACATTTGAGTTAGAGAAGTTTTACTGTATTTTGTGAGTTATAGTAATGAGAAAGTACCAATAAATAAAAGAGTGGTTGACATTAATTTACAACATATCTTAGTGCAAATTTCTGAGTTTTGTTTTTTAAATTTAAACTGAAGATGGCTTAAATAAAGCTGAAGATAATTTTTGGTAAAAAAATAGTTGGTTACCTTAACAAGCAGTGTCAAAGAACTGTTTTTATTATGATGATGCCAAGTTTCTGAATTTCAAAAATAAAATATGATTAAGCTTATTGACAAATTCTCAAGAATTTGAGAATTTACTTTTGTATTTTGATTGTGTTTGATAAGTTAAAGCAATGATTCCCAAACTTTTTGATCCACCACCCCTTTGTTCCATAAAGTTATACTCAATGCCCATAACTTATTTTCCCTTGTGTGAGAAAGGCTTGGAAATATTCTTATAAAAAATTTTCTACAAACCTCACACTGTGTCCTTACCATATATTGTTCTCAACATCTGTAAACCATTAAACACAATGTTTCTTCTTACCCATTTAACAGCAGAATGAGAAAGGTTGTCAGTGACCCAACCTTTGCCTATGGTTACTGTTCAGGACCCTGCCTCCCATTTGCTTCTTTTTGTCCCCCTACATTTACTCACTGCCCACATGAGGCAGTAGCACCCACTTTGAGAACCACTGAGTTAGAGTAATGATGAAATAATATTAGTTTCAAAAAAGTTTATTTGTAATAAATTTTTCTTGTAAACAACTTCAATATATTATGATAAGAAATAAATAAATACATCATGATTTATTTTCCTTTTAGTAATGCCCTAATTATTCTCTTATTAATTCTCTAAAGCAGATAATGAAATTACTGTGGTTTTTAGTAAGAAAATAACAAGGACAAATGATATATAAGGAAATATTTTAAATAGAAAGATATAGAATTGAAAGATAGAAAACTAAGATGTGATATATTTTAATATAATATAAAAAAATCTTTATACAGTAGAGCCTCGAAAACTCGGCACTCGATAACCCAGCACTCCGGATAACTCGGCCACACCCTGGCAGGGCAAAAAAATCCTTAGTTAATTAATTTTCATTGTAGACAGCTTTATGCCTCAAAGTATTTTTCTAAGGTCTGTCTTATCAGGTAAATTACTGTACACAGTGTATTCATTAATTTTCATTTTCATGTAGTAAAGGCTCTATGCCTTCATAAAAGATGTACTTTTCCTTTGTTTAAGGATATTTGGGCAGTTTATTCTCTGTTGTATTCTCAAGCAAACAATACATACAAATACAGTACAATATTTTCTGAGGAAACACGCATACTTATCCTTTTTTAACCCCATTCCCGATAACCCGGCATTTTCACAAACTCGGCCACCCTTCGGTCCACATTAGGCAGAGTTTTCAAGGCTCTACTGTACTATTCTTTTTAGATGATACAATTATTGTTAAAATTAAGTGTACTTATAAATGGAAATTATGAACTACTATGTATAACTATTTACTCAAATCTTTAAAAAAGTCATTTCAATTTATAGAATAAAATAAGGAATTAAGATTATTAATCAAAAACTTACTTCCGGCTATTTGTTGCAAATTAGCAAAACCACCAAATGCACCTGCCTGAGAAGCCTGCTGAAGTAACTGGATTTAAGAATAAATATTTTTCATTAATTTGCTTTACCATTCAAACATAAAAAATGAAATAATTATGCTTAAATATTTTTATCAATATATATAATAAATGATAAATTATAAACATGTTTTATAATTAGTGAAATATTTTAAATCTTTTATGCTTCAATCTTATAATATAATCAAGATAGGTTGACAATGATGATAATAAGTGCAGAGCCCAAATGGGTTAGGAGTTGAAAGTTGAAATTTGGTACACAGTTAGTGTAAGTCATGAGAACGTACACTAAAAAGGAATTTTTTTGAAATCCCCCCATAGGGGCAAAGGACAGGATTAAGGCTTACTGTGAAGAACTCATCTTCTATTACACTATTTTAGATGCAGTTTTTTGTGTTTTTGATTGCAATTTAATAGGATATACCATGAGAATGCACATTAAGAAGGGATTTTTCAAAATTTCCACCACGGGGAAGAGGAAGAGGGTTAAGGATTACCCTGAAGAACTCTGCTTCTACTGTACTATTTTAGATGGTCTTTTTTGCATTTATGTGGTAAATCAAACATATTTTTAGATCCTTCTAAAAATTCTCAACAATATTTAGTGTTTCATTGTATATAAAGTTGACATGGGAAGCACATGTGCATTTGCTTTATTCGAACTCTTTGTCTTAATGTTCAATTTTATGTTCGAATTTATATTGTGGTAATAAGCATGTGATGAGGGTTGATTTCACAAAGAGACGGGTATATAAAACAAATAAGACGTGCTTTATTTTTTTCTGTGAACATATACAGGAAAGGTTCTTGTTGATTCCGACCTCCTGAGTCCTTACATCAAACAAAAGAACAAACAACACCTTTTTCGATTCACAGTCGAGCAAGACGTTCGCGATACAAAGAGATACTTAACTTCAAACTTAAACCTACTTATATCTAAAAAGAAAAGGAAAAGAAAAGAAAGTTAGATTAGAAGAGAGAAACGGAAATATATTTTAGGATGGAACGGGTACCCGAGTTGGCGATTGGGGTGGCGGCTGCTGGATGACTTCGTCTTGGGATTTTTCCTTTTGGGGACGGATCGCATGCGAGAATCGATAAAAAACGTCCTTTATATTTGGCTGACCAATGTCCTTATCAACGCTACTTCTTTCTTACGTGCTCTTCGTGACTCTTTCAGTCGAAGCAACACCGACCTGGAGACCTCTCTCCGACGGTCTTCCCTCTTCTAGGTCCAAAGCCAAAAGTACTCACTTAGTCTCTCACTTGCCCTCTGGGCTATTTCTAATCCTTTGTCTCCTAATTAGGTCATCGACCACCCACACCTGGACGAAAGTTCCAGAAAGTATAGACAAAGGAACACAGAACAAAGAAAGAAGGAAAGATAGAAAATCATATATATACATATATATAAAAATNTAACTTCTAACTTAAACCTACTTATATCTAAAAAGAAAAGGAAAAAGGAAAAGAAAGTTAGATTAGAAGAGAGAAACGGAAATATATTTTAGGATGGAACGGGTACCCGAGTTGGCGATTGGGGTGGTGGCTGCTGGATGACTTCGTCTTGGGATTTTTCCTTTTGGGGACGGATCGCATGCGAGAATCGATAAAAAAAAACGTCCTTTATCTTTGGCTTACCAATGTCCTTATCAACGCTACTTCTTTCTTACGTGCTCTTCGTGACTCTTTCAGTCGAAGCAACACCGACCTGGAGACCTCTCTCCGACGGTCTTCCCTCTTCTAGGTCCAAAGCCAGAAGGTACTCACTTAGTCTCTCACTTGCCCTCTGGGCTATTTCTAATCCTTTGTCTTCTAATTAGGTCATCGACCACCCACACCTGGACGAAAGTTCCAGAAAGTATAGACAAAGGAACACAGAACAAAGAAAGAAGGAAAGATAGAAAATCATATATATACATATATATAAAAATATAACAAAAAATATATTGGTGTACCACCACAATATTTATGAATGATTCTGGAAGATACAGCTTATTTTTTGAATTTATTAAACCAGAAGAAGAACCCAGAAAGAGTTACAAAACCGTTTATTATTTATCACTTAGTGGTACTATGCATCGGTTAGTGATTGCAGTGACTCTTATTTATCATTATTCTGGTGTGGTAAGCAGATATCTAAAAATTTTCTAATTAGTTTCGGAAGAGGGGAGACCTAATTCTTGCACTCAATGAAAACGGGCAAGATCAGCTATAATCTAATAATCTTAATCTTTGCTATCGTTACTTTTTGTCCGAGCGATGCCAAGCTCATCTGCTAGTTTTATATATAACTAGCAGACCCCGTTTCGTGTTGTTGTGACTCAAAATGTATATTATAAATCGTTCTAGACTGCATACTGTAATATCAAAACACTTACTCAAACACCTTTTCTTGCAGCCGAAGTTTATAAGAGAAACTTTCTAACGTTTTCGGTCTTGTTAAAAGACCTTTCTCAAGAAAATAAATCAGATAAAACAACAAAATTGTAAATCAAACGCTTAGTACAGTTAACACGTTTTTCGAATCTTTTCGAACTATCCTTATAATCTGTTGCAAATGACGTCATTGTGAATTTAGCAATGGAAATATAAAAAGATTACATAAATATCTAAATATAAATACACATATTTACCCTCTCCCTACATCATTTAAAAATACGTAGCCTAAGATACATAGTAACTAGTTCCCTCAATTATTAAGTTTATATTAAACTAGAGGACCATGCTGCCGATATTTTTGTCGATTCCCGAAAGTTGACTGCAAGGCCTTTATGCTTTGNTATAAAATAGCAGCGTTTAGAACGTTAATCTCAAGAGCTTATTCGCACTGTAACAATACAAAAGATAGAAACGAGGAACTGAATTATATATATAACTTAGCCAGAAAGCACGGGGTTAATCTTAAAGCTATTATCAACAAGAGTAATAGGAGCATTAAGAGGAGAAATTTACCTCATAATGAAGGAGTTTTAACGATGGAATATAATGCTTCGTTGAATAATATTTTCCGACGCATAGGAAAGGCCCAGAACAAAAGAATCGTATATAAAAGAACCCCCACCACGTACCAACTATTACGATCTGATAAGGATTTAGTGGATAGAAGAACACTCCCCGGGGTATATAAAATTCCAGTCACAGACTCAAGGCGACGAAGTAAATTAATGTATGTAGGGGCAACAGGAAGATGTATCAAAGACAGGTTAGCAGAACACCAAGCAAATATAAGAAAAAAACAACCATGCACTGCGCTAGCCACCTACGTTCTAGCGGACCAGCAAGACGTCAAAGTTGAATGGGACCAAGCAAGACTAATGCAGATAGTCCGCGACAAGAAACACCGGCATTATGCGGAAGCCTGGCAGATTTGTAAGGCAAAGCATAAAGGCCTTGCAGTCAACTTTCGGGAATCGACAAAAATATCGGCAGCATGGTCCTCTAGTTTAATATAAACTTAATAATTGAGGGAACTAGTTACTATGTATCTTAGGCTACGTATTTTTAAATGATGTAGGGAGACGGTAAATATGTGTATTTATATTTAGATATTTAGGTCATTTTTATATTTCCGTTGCTAAATTCACAATGACGTCATTTGCAACAGATTATAAGGATAGTTCGAAAAGATTCGAAAAACGTGTTAACTGTACTAAGCGTTTGATTTACAATTTTGTTGTTTTATCTGATTTATTTTCTTGAGAAAGGTCTTTTAACAAGACCGAAAACGTTAGAAAGTTTCTCTTATAAACTTCGGCTGCAAGAAAAGGTGTTTGAGTAAGTGTTTTGATATATTATAAATGTATAACACTTCCCGTGGGGGGATTTTTCAAAAAATCCCTTATTAGTGTATACTCTGTTGACGTATCCTATTCAAACGCAATCAAAAACGCAAAAAAACCACATCTAAAATAGTATAAATAGAAGCAGAGTTCTTCACGGTAAGCCTTAATCCTGTCCATCTCCCCCCAGTGGGGGGAATGTCAACATGTATATTATATAAAAACATGTGCATATTCAAATGCAATGTTGTTTCAAAATTTCAAAGGAATCAGTAGGAACAAATAAACGTTACATTTTTATTTATATAGATAGATACAGGATAGATAATGATCTGATTTACTTCATCCAAACAGAAAAGCANTCAACATGTATATTATATAAAAACATGTGCATATTCAAATGCAATGTTGTTTCAAAATTTCAAAGGAATCAGTAGGAACAAATAAACGTTACATTTTTATTTATATAGATAGATACAGGATAGATAATGATCTGATTTACTTCATCCAAACAGAAAAGCATAATGCCTCACAGAAAAGCACAAAACTTAGGTTGTTGTACTCAAGGAGTTAGCGCCATCTATTAGACATAAAAGCCTTAATCCTAGATGATATCTTTTAATTTATATGACTGTTTAACGGAATAATATACAGCCTATGTCCACCCTGAAGTTCCATTCTAAATATTGGTGAAAGAATTTTTGAAGTTGGATGAGTAGTTTTGGAGATTACCTCCTATATCCAAACTTATCTCTTTATAATATAAGTATAGATAAACTGAAATTGCTTTCAAATAAAAGTTCTCACAGAAATAAAACTTAAATGGTTAAAGTGGATAACAAATAAGAATTATGAAAATTTATTTATCTGTCTCATAATATTTGTAATTTTATGTAATTAATTAAAAATGAAAAAAAAAAAAATAATAATAATAAAGATTAAATAAAGTCTTTATTCTTTGTATTTTTGATATTTTAGATTTTGGAATTTTATTTATTTATTTTGAACTGAATATTAAATAATATGTTTAATAAAAAGCTCATTTTATCAACATAACTATCAATGAAAATTAACAAAAAATTATATATTATATATGTGTGTCAAATTAAAAAAAATTAATACTTGTAATGAGTTAATTTAAAAAAGCAATGATAAATGATTAAATTTATCATTGAATTTAAAATAATTAAATTTATATTAAAGATAAATTTTTCTATCTTCAATAATAATTATAACAAGCTTTCAGATACATTTTCTTGATAATTTAACAAGTTATATTTAAGTATAAATACAAAATTGCAATTGTCATAAAAGATATGTTTATAATAAGATTTTATAGTAAAAAATGGAATATTTTTGTAATTTGTATATTACTCTCTATTTTAAGTATTACTTGCTTTTCATTAATACATGAATCTTTACTATGGTTCTCCTAGTTCATTTATATTTAAATAAGTAATTTAATTGCATTACAATATATTCAATGAATTTAATCTATTTAAAGTTATATTAGGTATCTCTAAAACACAAAACAAAATAAAAAACAATAACCATGTAAAATATTCCTATTCAATATTATTCGATACTAGTAGTGACAGCCAACATTTCTTGGAGAAATTTGACATTGCAATCATGATGCTGTAGAAAATTTTTAAAAAGTTATTTAAAGATAGATATTTAAGATGACTAGATGATTCTTGGAAAGTTTGGTTGTACTTGCCTATACCATTTTTGAATGCATAAAGAACAAACAATTTTCTTATTTATTTCTATATGGAATAATTCTGAAAACCTACAGGTATTTGTCCTGTATTTGCTCACAATATAATGTTTGCTAGTGCTCTAATACTATAGAATGCACAATTTCATTGAGAATAGAGGCTGCTTCTTTTGTAGACAGTAAACCAATTTTTTTAGGGCAAATAGTAATCAATAACCTCCTGAACAAGAAAATACTTTTGGAAAGTTTTATTGCATTTGCTAATACTGTCTTCAAATGCAAATGAGATAAACAAACTTTATATATATATATAAAGTTATCCTGCTTTTTAATTATTATTTCTGCTTGAAGCTATGATTTTTTGGTACAAGAAGTTTAATTTTTGTGTGTGTTGTTTCTTTAATCAAAGTTTTTCAATAAAATCCAGTATGTGACACAAAATTGCAGTAGGCCATCAGGCACATCTTTCTGTTTAATTCCTTTTTGCACATTATCTAATATTTTATTATTCTCTTCCAAAGAAAACTGCTTTTTTAGTTTTTCTCCATTTTTTCTCATAAAAAGAAATAAACTGTAGAGTAATTGCATCAAAACTAAACCATAACTAAGAATTAAAATTAGCATTGCCAATTGAACTGGACATTAAAATTAATGTTGCCAGACTGTTTGACATAATATTCAACATTTACTAATAATGAATGATTTTTATGTGTTTATAGATATCATTATACTGTAATGAAACTATTCTTTAGTAGCAGACAGAATATTTAGTACATTAAACTGAAATTTTCATTATAATGGCATTAGTTAAACTGAAACATTTTTGCATTGAGCTGAATAAGAAATTGGTGAGAGATTCAAGATATATTCATTATATAGAAAATTTTGTTAAATTGGCATTTATTATACTGACATTTCACTGTAAATATAAATGAATATTCTGATATGTTCTGATGAGATATGTTGACTACAATTAGCAAGATTTATGTTACCTTTCCAATTACATAATTTCAACAATTTTAGTAACAAGTTTTACAGTCGATTGCAGAGACAGAGTTTATGTTAAACGACGTTTATCAACAGAACAGCCTATAGATGTTGGCTGGCTAAACCGCAGTTTAAAATGCGTTGCAAAGACAACAATTGTATATTTCTGACCACTCTCTAAATGAACTTTGGCAAAACATTGGCTCTTACTTACTTCGCTATTACTCCCCTGTTTTAGGAGTTGTTTGGCCAATAGGGTTATTTGTTTGTGACATCAGAAATGGTCGCCAGCTATACAGGTAGCCCTCGGTTTACGCCAGTTCAATTTACGCCGATTCACAATAACGCCACTGCGCAATTTGCCGTTTCGAGGTGTAATTCCCCGATTTTCCCTATGCTAGACTGATTTTCGTTTCAGTGTTGACGTATTTACCGAGCCGCGACATTGTACATTTGTTAAAACAAAGATTTTTATTAAATATATATATTTTTTCTGTTTAATATTATTGGTATGTATACATTTACATTAAATTAATATTAAAATACTAAACGTTTAGGTACCCACGAGTTAAGACATTAAACTTAATAGTCCAATAAATGGCGTCTGAATCCATAGCGCCAATGAATGTATCCCGTATCAGTTCATTCAGGAAAACACCTTACGACGCAATAGCACTTCTGGCGATCACAGATTATCGTTAGTGAGACAAATCTACTTCTCGTTGACCAGACGATATTTATCTCTCCTTAGCCACCTTGAATTTTCCCGCTCAAACTGACCTTATATGTGCGCTACGGCGACCGGTGGTTGACCAATCAGTGTCTTCGCTTGTCTGTAGCTCTATATCGGGTTAACGTATCCTTTCAATTAAGGAAAGTTTGACAGATGAAGTTTGTGAGTTAGACAATGTTGGAAGCGAAGTGCAAATGTAAGAAGGAGCATCATATTCGATCATATTCCGAAATTCTTAATGAAAGAAATCAACAATGCAAACAATTAAAGATGGATATTTTTTCCGAAAAATGTAAGAAATTCAAAACTAAAATTTTTAAATAAAAACATTTCACTTTATTTTATGATAAAATACATTTTAAAAATTAAAAATTTATATGTATTTTGTATTATATTGTATTAATAAACAAAATTATTAGCTTATTTTTCACTTATGTAGAACCTAACCCTATACCTCACTGTAAATACGGGTTCGTTTTACGCCGGCTTTTGTAGGAACGGAACTGCGGCGTAAACCGAGGGCTACCTGTATTCCGAACGTTTCCAGAAATAAAATCTTAAGGCCATCAAAACCATTGTTTGGCAATTAACGACAATCCTTTTCCATTTCGATATTTAATTTTGTCGCCAATACGGTTTAAAATATGAACAAATCCATATTTAGAAAATTTATACCGAATTCAGAATAGATTTTTAAGGAATTATTTCGCCATCTTATTATGTTGAAATGAATAATTTTAAATATTTTATTAATAATATTACATTTTTTTATATCTATAAATAGATTTCTGTAATTATTAAAATTGTCTCGTTTGTTTAACAATACAATGACTCCAAAATGCATTAACGTTTTATAACTGACACGATACTCGAATTGTAAATAAATGCATTTGATTTAAATTAATTGAAGTTTTAAGTCTTCACCCATTTGAATGAAGAAATTGAAACATTTAAAACAAATTTTAAGTATTTAATTTTGTTGTTTTTGCTCCAAGCAATTAATTAATGAATAATTTTGTCGATTCATACCGTTTACAACATTTATCAAAGGAACAATATCTGTTTTTATCTAAACTTTTCCACGAACAAAGCTACCACTCGAATTGAAAAGCCCTCTAAACCTGCTGTCGAGTAAGTCTAGAAAATAGGTCAAATAACTTGTTTCTAATCGCTGTCTACATTGTGGCAGGTGAGACACGCCGTCTCTGCAATGAAATTTTTCTGAATAGAGGTCTACCAGATCTGTAAACTGCCATCGGTCTCTAAACATTGTCTCTGCAATCGACTGTTAATGTTTTAAAAGTTTTGTTTAAAACAACTAATGTTTTAAAAGTTATATACACCATTAATCCTAACATCATGTATTTCAATTTAATTAAGTTTAAGGCCAAATGACCTGTCATATCATTTGGCCTTAATTGAAAAATCAGGTTATTGGATGTTTGTAATTTGGACATTTGTAATTAAGTTCATTTAACTTCAAAGTAAAAACATTTTCTTTTGTATTTATTATAATTTTAATGTGAGAAGTTTTTTCTCAATTACTTCATGTATCTCTGGCACCATATTACTACCACAAAATTCTTACTTCAGGAAGCCAAATTTTTGATTGAATAATAAGATATGATTTCATTCTGTTCCAGGACAACGTTAATATTTTCAGAACAGCTAAACAATGTTTCATCCATATATTAGGAAAATATTTAGATGTCTTTAATACACAGATCTTTATTAACCTAGACAGCAGATGTACTGGGGTACTTGATTCAAGAAATTGGTGTGATATGGTTAAGCACTGGATTAATAAAATAAGGAAGTAATTTTAGTCTGTATATGAAATGTATTCTTTAATTTTTTTTAAAAAGTTTTGTGTTTTGTTAAAATTTTTTTGTTTTTAAATAATTTGGAATGATATTTTGGTATCATGCATGTGTGTTGATCCTCTTTAATATCATCAGATTTGAAAATGTTTAAATAATGTTCATAATGTTCAATTTGCTGAAAAATTGTAAAAAATTTCAACTTAAGTTAATTTTAAAAAGCCATGATACTTATATTTGTTTTTTATGAATCGTAAGATAAAGTTATCCTGGATCAAAATGAAAATTTTTATTATTACAAAATTTTTGTCCTGGCATATTTTAATCAAATTTTTATTATTATTATTTAATTAAAGGTTTGACTTCTGGAGTAAGCATTTTGATATTGGAAAGTATTTTTTAATTAAAAATTCAATAATTTCAAACCAAGTTATAAATTTTTATGATAATATTGTAAAATTTATGTTGATTAAATTTTTTATGAAAAGAATTAGTATTTCAATCATCTAAAAAAACTTTTTGTAGTTAAAAAACTTATTAAACTTTAAGTATAAACTATATACAGTAATTCCAATACCATGAAATAATATTTAATTTAATTAAAAACTAATTTATAAAATTAAACTTAAAATTTACATACTGCTAAATATTGTGGTGTAAGAGCCCCCAAATTAGCAAAATTTGCCATATTCCATAAATTAGCCATCATCTGCTGCTGTCTCTTTTGGTCTTTTTCTTTTTGAGTGTCAGCAAACTTTACAACTAAAGGACTACTACAACCCTTTAAAAAAAATGAATATATTGTAATATCAATGATATAAATTCATGTGCTAAAAATGAAATAGTATTACAGCTTTAAATTTTATTACAATGTATAGTAGAGCGTCGTTTATCCGAATCAATTGAGGACTGGGGTGGTTCGGATAACTTATTTTTCGGATAACGAATCATGTACGAAAAAATATATTAATTTATCCCATGTTGAAATTTTTCTCCGTTGCGTGTCGCTTCGCGTTGAATTTTCGTCGATGTTAAGCCTAACGAAGACTATTGTATCGTTAAAATTTATTTTTTTTATTTTGTACAAACAAAATAAATACATTGAAAAATATAAAAACAATAAAAAATTATACTTCAGATGTTAATTTAGTATCAAAAATGTAAAATATTTGAGTAGCCCAAGAAATAGCTGAAGATTGCAGGGCCACAGCACTAGCGAAAATTTAAATTTGCCGACTGGAATGCTTTCGAATAACAGACGTTTCGGATAACCAGCTTTCGGATAAACGACGCTCTACTGTATATTTAATTTGCAATCTTTTAATTAAAACAAAATAAATAAATAATGTTAATTATTAACATAAGCTTCTATTTTCCACTCAATTTTTTTTACTTCTTAAGCAAAAATGTTTGTTATTTTTTTTATAAACAGAATTTTCAAAAAAAAAAAAAAATTGTTCATTAATTATCATCAACTGATTCATTTAATTTAATGAATACTGTTAAATATGATAAAAACTTTAATTATTACACCTCAGTGAACTAAAAATGTGATTACCTCCAAGAAAGCAGAAAAATTTGTCAATTTTTTTTATTATTCTCTTTTCAATTGACAATACTTTAAAACTTTGCTACATTTATGCCATATTCACATGCAAGGATCAAGAGTTAGAGTAGAAGTTAACCAATAAGCATTCACATAATGAGTACTAGAAGTAAAATGAATGGCAATTGGTTAACTTCTAATTCTAATGTTTTATCCTTGGATGTGAGTACAGCTGTGGAAAAACTATAAAATAATAATAATGTTAATGACCATCAAATCTTGATATTCATTATTTAATTACATATTTTTAATAACCTTATGCATGATAAATACTTTTCAAATCAACCATGCCAGTTTAATCACAAAATTAAAATTTTTTAAACTAATCATTAAATTTAAATTATTTATTAATCAAAATCAGAAACAGAAGAATTTTGATGGATTGAAAAATATCTGACAATCAAACAGCTTAATTCAATCAATATTTACCTCCATAGTTTGAGAATGATTCATTGCTTTAATAGCATTGATTGCACATTGACGAGATGCATAAGTTACAAAAGCACAACCTAAAAAAAAAAAAATAAAGAGCAAAATGAGAGATAAATGTATAGAGTGAAATAAATGCTAGCAATTTCTAAACTAAACAACTACATAAAAATAATTTAGATTTCCAGCGAATACCATTTAATTTTTCATTTACAGACTTTCTTATACTTTTTCAATTCCAAAAATAAGCTATTGAATTAAATTATTTAAATCTGTAATATTTTTGTACATCAGAATAAAACATTTCTCTAGTAATTCTTTCCATTGAGGACTGCTAATGAATCTTACACTCTTTCCAGATGTTCTCTTTTATAATCCATCTTTTTAAAAAAATTTCAGATTTTAATTTTTTTAATATCGAATAATATCTTTTATAAACTGCAGTTTTCTTAATTAAGAAAAAAAACTAACGTTTAAAAGAAAATAAAAGAATTTATTGAGGCATTCAATCTGGATGAATTTTTAAAAATATTTTATGATTTTAATGAAGGGAAGAGATGCAATTTTTAAATTCTTTTCTTTGGGATCTGAGATATTTTATTATCTAATTATTTCTGTATTGAATTACTCATTCAAAAGAATATTTTTCTTTTTTAAGCAAACAGCTCTCATTCAATTGGAAACAAAAAAAATCTTCAATATATTGTGTAATTAAAAAATCTGATTTTTAAAATTCTAACTGTATCCATATATTTTAAATTTACAATAGGTTGTTAAAGTCTCTCTAATATAGAAATTTAAAATATTACAGTTTCAAAAAATTTAAAAATATAAGCTAACTGAAAACAATACTTATTAATCTTAGATAATTATAGAAAACTATAAGTAGAGTTAAGAAAATTATCATCTAGGCGTTAACAACCTACAGCTATTGCTATGTATGGTAGGGATAGTTGTAGGTTGTTAACGCCTAGATGATAATTTTCTCAACTTTACTTATCCAATATTTGGCATGAAGTCCAATATTATTTTTCACTATTAATGTATAGAAAACTAAATATTCAATGACAATATATCTACATATATTTAATTGTTAACATTAATTATTAGAGTATATCATAAGAATAATATGTTCTAATATATGTTTTGTATTTCTATTATGATTTATGAATTATAAAATAAGAATAATTAAAATAAACGAATAAAATAAAATATTATATCTTACAACTGTCATATTCTGTATAATTTTAAACAGTAAATCTAACAAATGTACACAATTAAAATTAATAAATCATTTTTTATCTAACATCTACTTTTATCTTAATCATACAACCTGCACACAGTTTTCAATTAAATTTGAATTTTAGTTAAATGTTGCATAATTATTTTCAATCCATTTTCAAGATCAAATGCAACAAACAAATGTTAAAAAAAAAATTGTTTTTTCAATCAAATCACTAATATTAATTTATAGGGAAATAAAAATTTATTGCAACTCTTAACAAGCCACAATTTCATTTTTTATACTGAGAAACTAGAAATAATATTTAATTAGTGATACTTATGACATAAAATCATCTTAGTTTTTATCCATTAAAAATATTTTTGGTAACAAATATTAAAAAATAATTTGAATTTTTATTCTATAATTATAAATTATAATGTGGCATCATAACAACAAATTTACTTATTTATTTATTTTAAATTGTTGATGATAAATTTCAAAAGAAATTTTTTAATTAGCTATTTTATAACAAATTTTCTAACTAAGCAGTTTTTCATAGCTGATGTGATACAATAATGTATAATATTAATTTAGAAAACTTTTGAAAAATTATAATTGATTTTTAATAAAATTCTCCTGCATTATTTGATCTATCACTAGTATGATTTTAAAATAAAGATAAAAATATATAAAAGAGAAAAAATTTATTTTGAAACTAATTTTTGTGTTTTTTAATCATTATTAAGATAAAATTTTAATATGAAAAGACCTTTTTGAGTACCAAGGTCTATCAAATTTTATTTTTTACTTATTTATTTTATGATAAATTATTGCTATCAAAACTCAGACTGCATTTATCTTTTCTATTTAATTGTTTTAATAAACTTATTTAATTGAATGTCTATTATATATATATAGATGCAATATATATCAAATAAATAGTTGTTATCACTTAAAATCTTTGGATATTCTCAATATATATTTTTGGAACAATTACTAAATTGTTAAAATTTCTATATCTTACCTTTACTTTGGCCACTGGCATCCCTTAACACTGTACATTCTTCTATTGTTCCAAAGGGAGCAAACATAATCCGAACATCATTTTCATTGCATTTTTTTGATAGCATTCCAATAAATAACTTTCTTTCTGCAAAATTTATTGTCCCTTCTTTGTTAATATTTTAAAAAATATATCTACAACAAATATCAAATGCCTAATCACTGTTAAACAATGTTTTTCTTTCTTTTTTTGACCTTAATTTTAATTATGGTTTAATAATTTTTATTTAGGATAAAATACAAACAACTTTTTTACATCCATGTAGAGAGTAAAAAAGAGTTAGTGCTGTTACAAAATTTTTCACACATACACAACATACCAATACAGAGTACCAACTCCATTGACAGCAAAAGAAAAATCATAACATGCTAATTCACACTTAGGAATTTCATAAAGAATAATATAGCCTCAGATTGTTCTGGGCTTTCCCGTCAAATTTTAAAGAACATTTTCAAGAAAATTATTTAGTCCTGATTTATTAAATTTTGTCACAGCAAATGCATATAATGTATAAAATTAATAAACATAAAATAATACATTCTTTATAGAGATAAATCTATGAAAAAGAAAAATTAATAAAAAAAAAATAAAATTTTATAGTTTTCTTGTCAGATTTATATTTATATTGTATTGAATGTGACTGGTTTAACAGAAGATAGAAAAATGAAAATTACCATTTCGGTTTTCACTGTCTGCTGGTTTCATCTGTATGGGATGATGCATCTATATATGGAAGGAGGAAAGAAATGTAGATGACAACACACACAAAAGCTAAGTTCATGCATGTGTCAGAAATGAATTCAACAATTTCACTCAAGTATTTAGAAAGGAAATGACACAACACAACACACACATTTACAAGTTATATAAAATATATAAATATATTATATTATATATATTTTAATATATACTTCAGTAGCTTGAGCATTAATACAATCTTTTTCTCTCTGCAAAAAGATTTCCATAAAANAAAAACTAATTTATAAAATTAAACTTAAAATTTACATACTGCTAAATATTGTGGTGTAAGAGCCCCCAAATTAGCAAAATTTGCCATATTCCATAAATTAGCCATCATCTGCTGCTGTCTCTTTTGGTCTTTTTCTTTTTGAGTGTCAGCAAACTTTACAACTAAAGGACTACTACAACCCTTTAAAAAAAATGAATATATTGTAATATCAATGATATAAATTCATGTGCTAAAAATGAAATAGTATTACAGCTTTAAATTTTATTACAATGTATAGTAGAGCGTCGTTTATCCGAATCAATTGAGGACTGGGGTGGTTCGGATAACTTATTTTTCGGATAACGAATCATGTACGAAAAAATATATTAATTTATCCCATGTTGAAATTTTTCTCCGTTGCGTGTCGCTTCGCGTTGAATTTTCGTCGATGTTAAGCCTAACGAAGACTATTGTATCGTTAAAATTTATTTTTTTTATTTTGTACAAACAAAATAAATACATTGAAAAATATAAAAACAATAAAAAATTATACTTCAGATGTTAATTTAGTATCAAAAATGTAAAATATTTGAGTAGCCCAAGAAATAGCTGAAGATTGCAGGGCCACAGCACTAGCGAAAATTTAAATTTGCCGACTGGAATGCTTTCGAATAACAGACGTTTCGGATAACCAGCTTTCGGATAAACGACGCTCTACTGTATATTTAATTTGCAATCTTTTAATTAAAACAAAATAAATAAATAATGTTAATTATTAACATAAGCTTCTATTTTCCACTCAATTTTTTTTACTTCTTAAGCAAAAATGTTTGTTATTTTTTTTATAAACAGAATTTTCAAAAAAAAAAAAAAAATTGTTCATTAATTATCATCAACTGATTCATTTAATTTAATGAATACTGTTAAATATGATAAAAACTTTAATTATTACACCTCAGTGAACTAAAAATGTGATTACCTCCAAGAAAGCAGAAAAATTTGTCAATTTTTTTTATTATTCTCTTTTCAATTGACAATACTTTAAAACTTTGCTACATTTATGCCATATTCACATGCAAGGATCAAGAGTTAGAGTAGAAGTTAACCAATAAGCATTCACATAATGAGTACTAGAAGTAAAATGAATGGCAATTGGTTAACTTCTAATTCTAATGTTTTATCCTTGGATGTGAGTACAGCTGTGGAAAAACTATAAAATAATAATAATGTTAATGACCATCAAATCTTGATATTCATTATTTAATTACATATTTTTAATAACCTTATGCATGATAAATACTTTTCAAATCAACCATGCCAGTTTAATCACAAAATTAAAATTTTTTAAACTAATCATTAAATTTAAATTATTTATTAATCAAAATCAGAAACAGAAGAATTTTGATGGATTGAAAAATATCTGACAATCAAACAGCTTAATTCAATCAATATTTACCTCCATAGTTTGAGAATGATTCATTGCTTTAATAGCATTGATTGCACATTGACGAGATGCATAAGTTACAAAAGCACAACCTAAAAAAAAAAAAATAAAGAGCAAAATGAGAGATAAATGTATAGAGTGAAATAAATGCTAGCAATTTCTAAACTAAACAACTACATAAAAATAATTTAGATTTCCAGCGAATACCATTTAATTTTTCATTTACAGACTTTCTTATACTTTTTCAATTCCAAAAATAAGCTATTGAATTAAATTATTTAAATCTGTAATATTTTTGTACATCAGAATAAAACATTTCTCTAGTAATTCTTTCCATTGAGGACTGCTAATGAATCTTACACTCTTTCCAGATGTTCTCTTTTATAATCCATCTTTTTAAAAAAATTTCAGATTTTAATTTTTTTAATATCGAATAATATCTTTTATAAACTGCAGTTTTCTTAATTAAGAAAAAAAACTAACGTTTAAAAGAAAATAAAAGAATTTATTGAGGCATTCAATCTGGATGAATTTTTAAAAATATTTTATGATTTTAATGAAGGGAAGAGATGCAATTTTTAAATTCTTTTCTTTGGGATCTGAGATATTTTATTATCTAATTATTTCTGTATTGAATTACTCATTCAAAAGAATATTTTTCTTTTTTAAGCAAACAGCTCTCATTCAATTGGAAACAAAAAAAATCTTCAATATATTGTGTAATTAAAAAATCTGATTTTTAAAATTCTAACTGTATCCATATATTTTAAATTTACAATAGGTTGTTAAAGTCTCTCTAATATAGAAATTTAAAATATTACAGTTTCAAAAAATTTAAAAATATAAGCTAACTGAAAACAATACTTATTAATCTTAGATAATTATAGAAAACTATAAGTAGAGTTAAGAAAATTATCATCTAGGCGTTAACAACCTACAGCTATTGCTATGTATGGTAGGGATAGTTGTAGGTTGTTAACGCCTAGATGATAATTTTCTCAACTTTACTTATCCAATATTTGGCATGAAGTCCAATATTATTTTTCACTATTAATGTATAGAAAACTAAATATTCAATGACAATATATCTACATATATTTAATTGTTAACATTAATTATTAGAGTATATCATAAGAATAATATGTTCTAATATATGTTTTGTATTTCTATTATGATTTATGAATTATAAAATAAGAATAATTAAAATAAACGAATAAAATAAAATATTATATCTTACAACTGTCATATTCTGTATAATTTTAAACAGTAAATCTAACAAATGTACACAATTAAAATTAATAAATCATTTTTTATCTAACATCTACTTTTATCTTAATCATACAACCTGCACACAGTTTTCAATTAAATTTGAATTTTAGTTAAATGTTGCATAATTATTTTCAATCCATTTTCAAGATCAAATGCAACAAACAAATGTTAAAAAAAAAATTGTTTTTTCAATCAAATCACTAATATTAATTTATAGGGAAATAAAAATTTATTGCAACTCTTAACAAGCCACAATTTCATTTTTTATACTGAGAAACTAGAAATAATATTTAATTAGTGATACTTATGACATAAAATCATCTTAGTTTTTATCCATTAAAAATATTTTTGGTAACAAATATTAAAAAATAATTTGAATTTTTATTCTATAATTATAAATTATAATGTGGCATCATAACAACAAATTTACTTATTTATTTATTTTAAATTGTTGATGATAAATTTCAAAAGAAATTTTTTAATTAGCTATTTTATAACAAATTTTCTAACTAAGCAGTTTTTCATAGCTGATGTGATACAATAATGTATAATATTAATTTAGAAAACTTTTGAAAAATTATAATTGATTTTTAATAAAATTCTCCTGCATTATTTGATCTATCACTAGTATGATTTTAAAATAAAGATAAAAATATATAAAAGAGAAAAAATTTATTTTGAAACTAATTTTTGTGTTTTTTAATCATTATTAAGATAAAATTTTAATATGAAAAGACCTTTTTGAGTACCAAGGTCTATCAAATTTTATTTTTTACTTATTTATTTTATGATAAATTATTGCTATCAAAACTCAGACTGCATTTATCTTTTCTATTTAATTGTTTTAATAAACTTATTTAATTGAATGTCTATTATATATATATAGATGCAATATATATCAAATAAATAGTTGTTATCACTTAAAATCTTTGGATATTCTCAATATATATTTTTGGAACAATTACTAAATTGTTAAAATTTCTATATCTTACCTTTACTTTGGCCACTGGCATCCCTTAACACTGTACATTCTTCTATTGTTCCAAAGGGAGCAAACATAATCCGAACATCATTTTCATTGCATTTTTTTGATAGCATTCCAATAAATAACTTTCTTTCTGCAAAATTTATTGTCCCTTCTTTGTTAATATTTTAAAAAATATATCTACAACAAATATCAAATGCCTAATCACTGTTAAACAATGTTTTTCTTTCTTTTTTTGACCTTAATTTTAATTATGGTTTAATAATTTTTATTTAGGATAAAATACAAACAACTTTTTTACATCCATGTAGAGAGTAAAAAAGAGTTAGTGCTGTTACAAAATTTTTCACACATACACAACATACCAATACAGAGTACCAACTCCATTGACAGCAAAAGAAAAATCATAACATGCTAATTCACACTTAGGAATTTCATAAAGAATAATATAGCCTCAGATTGTTCTGGGCTTTCCCGTCAAATTTTAAAGAACATTTTCAAGAAAATTATTTAGTCCTGATTTATTAAATTTTGTCACAGCAAATGCATATAATGTATAAAATTAATAAACATAAAATAATACATTCTTTATAGAGATAAATCTATGAAAAAGAAAAATTAATAAAAAAAAAATAAAATTTTATAGTTTTCTTGTCAGATTTATATTTATATTGTATTGAATGTGACTGGTTTAACAGAAGATAGAAAAATGAAAATTACCATTTCGGTTTTCACTGTCTGCTGGTTTCATCTGTATGGGATGATGCATCTATATATGGAAGGAGGAAAGAAATGTAGATGACAACACACACAAAAGCTAAGTTCATGCATGTGTCAGAAATGAATTCAACAATTTCACTCAAGTATTTAGAAAGGAAATGACACAACACAACACACACATTTACAAGTTATATAAAATATATAAATATATTATATTATATATATTTTAATATATACTTCAGTAGCTTGAGCATTAATACAATCTTTTTCTCTCTGCAAAAAGATTTCCATAAAATGATTCATATAAGTAAATTATATTTTAGATCTGTATAAATAGTTTAAATAAGAAAAAAAAATTAAATCTTATTATTTATCCAATTAGAAATAATTTTTCACATATTCTAATTTGTAACAAAATTCAGATTCAATTTTCAATGTGTCAATTTTAAAATTGTGTGGACAATTGTAGTTTAATTGGTTATTAAACCAATTGAATTTTTTAATGTAAAGTTTATGATGATAATTATTGACTTATATAAACTATATTTAAATAGAAATGTATAAATATAAATTTTTAAAGTTATATTATAATTAATTAGGAAAAGAATTGTCATTTTATGACAAAAAGCAGTCATGATACTGGAATTATGTATGGTTGCCAGATTTTTACAACTGCATTAAAAGACACTTAAAAATGATTAATGCTACCACTTTTCAAGTTTCACTCCATGTCATCCCCAAAAACTTAAATTGATTTTTTTTACTAACTAAACATTCTATATTGTTTTATTAACAATTTCTGATGCAGTGCTCTGAAGTTCTAAGAACTTTTTTCACCCTTAATTTTCCCCTTTTCCTTTATACTTCTCCCTTCAGAACCCATCCTTCAACCTTTTCTCTACCTACTTTCTCTTCCTAGTGGGCTAAGTTTGCAAAAGCAGGCAGCCCCTCCTTCTTCTTCTTTATTATTATTATAATATATTGTTTAGATTCTAATTTAAAAATTACAGTTTTCATATTGACTATAATATTTGCAAATTTTATTTTAATTTAGAACTTAAAATTTTTAACAGTAAACAGATTTCTGTGGGGTAAGATATGACTGATATATAAGGATAGGCATATGCCTATGTGAAAATTTGCCTATGCTGTTACAAATCATAAGCATTGAAAAATGAAAATAAAGAACAAACTGCATCTTTTCTCGTTTCAATAAAAAACAAATCATCTGGCAAGTCTTATGACAATAGTTGCTACTTAATATTATATAACACTTAGATCAAACTATTTGGAAAAAGTAACTGAGGATACAAGCAAATAATTCAACAAAGAATAAATAAATAAAATTCTAGGAGTGTCTTATGCTTGATAAGAAATGGTAGAATTTCTATTGCCAAGTAAAGACTGGTATCTCAAAAATCAATAATCTTTCATGATATTAATAAATGTTGCAGCAGATTTTGGCTAGCAAACAATAACTTCTAATAGAAAAAGCAGCTTAAATATAAACTACATATCAATGCAAACCTGAAAGATTAATTTGCTTCATTTTCAACTTTCTATTTTGTTTGATACTTATAAATTTTTATTCAATTACCAAATAGAATTACATAGGAAATAAGTTTAAAAACTGAAATAAAATCCATTGTCAATAATGTAAATTTTTTCTTTCTATAGCAGTAGAAATTATACAGGTAAACTCATGCCACTAGTAACTAAAAAGTAAGTATAAAATATTAAACATATTTATTATAAAGTATATATGTTATATAAAAAGCTTAATAACTATAAGCAAATATGATAATTAATTTTTTATTCATTATAATAAATTCTAAAAATTTAATTCTTTGGTTTTGCTAAATTCATTTACTTCAGTTTTCATATTTTTACTACTGGTAGTTATATAATTAATAATAATATAATGTATTGAATCACTCATAAACAAAAAAACCCTTTTCTTGCTGTGAAGAAGGTTAGAAATAGCTGTTAAATAATTCCTCTAACTGATTTTAATCAATTTTATCAAAAGAGGACATGCAAATTAATAGATTTAAAATTAAAATCTCTATGCTCTAGGAAAACAATAGTATATAAGAGTGTCTTTCAGATAAAAAAAAAACTATAATCAGTGAAAATCTTTATAGCATTTACATTTAAATAACCATAAGTGTAAAATAACAACTAAACTAATTTAATTTCTGAAACTTATGCATTCTGGATAAATTATTTTACTTTATATAGAGAAAGCAAATATTTTATAAATTAAACTGAAGTTAAATTTTTAATGCAGCATCTTTTCATAATTATTACAGTAATACCTCGACTTACACTACCCCGACTTATGCGAACCTGGAGTTACGCGATTTTCAAATCTCGTCGATTCATCTTTTGTTTGAGCGCCACGCAACTCTCGATTACTCACTCCCCCAACACTATTGTTCAGCTTACATGTTCAGACGTGTCATGCAGAATCGACATATAGCTACAATTTATTTTGTGTTATTTATTTCTGTGTTTGTTATATCTACGGAGCCTTCAGAGACTCTATGTGGTGATTTCTTGTAACCATGAACAAATCAAAAGACGAGATAAGATTAACAAGAACATTTATTAGCTTACATACATCCAATTTGGATTTTACACGAATTACAAAATTATACCCCGACTTACGCAAATTCGACTTACGCGGTTATCGCTTGGTCCCACCTATCGCATAAGTTCGGGGTATCACTGTATTTATTAAAAAGATAATAAGTGCAAGCCTGTATTTAATTTATTAATTTATTAAGTTTATGATCCTTATCTCATAAGCCAGCACTTCTCAATCAGTTTAAGCCCAATGGCCATGAAAATGTCCAAAAATATTCTACAGACCACTAAGTTATGTAGGCCTAATTGTTTTTAAAACCTACATAGGCATAATCAACAATGAAGACATATTGTACCATTTATAACATAATAAATCTAAAATCATATTTTGAATACATACAGAAACATAAATTGGAAGTGAACTATTAAAAGTGAATCATCATTGGATGAAGTTTTAATATGTCTGCCTGCAGACATATTAAAACTTCTGATCTGTTTAAACTATTGCCTAATTTAAACTGATCTGTCTAAACTATTACCTAATTTAGGATAATTCATAAAATAGCATAGACTTGCAATCTAGTTTCTCTCTCCCCTCAATTCTTTATTTTATAGAAAGTTTGCTAAACAAATAATCTTACAAAAACTGAAGACATTCTGGTAAACAATATTTTAAAGAGAGATATTTTTGTTAGAAATAGAAGATTTTTAAACAAAAACCATTCTAATAGTTTTATTTCAGAGAGTAAAAAAATCATATTCTAGTAAAAATGACAATAAAAATAAAGTAACTCTATCTAACCAATTTGAAAGGAAAAGAAAAAATAATTGTTTTAAAGAAAATTCATAGACTTTTTAATTATATTTTCTTGCAACAGAATAAACCTCCAGAAAAGAAAAGTAGAAGATATTGTAGAAAATAAAAATATAATCAATCAAAATAATCACATTAGACAAAAATGGAAAAGTATTCAGTGAATTAAAGATATACATCTCTAACTATGCAACAAGATAAGATTCCAACTTTCATTTGAACTCCTCAGTTTTGATGAAAAGAAATGCAAATTGGAAGAAGGAAATAATATCAACAGATAACATTCAATAACTGATAATAAACGATTTTTTAAGAAAGATTTACTCAAAATTAATTTATTTCATCCAATTTTCATTTTTTTACAGTTACTTCTAAAGGATTTTTAAAACTATGTTTTAATTATTTTTAAAAAGATTTCTTTCAGATTTACCTTTTTTAATTTTTAATATGTAGAGATCAATTAAGGCAAGGAACTTTACAAGTAAACTTACAATGATTTTTTTAAAGCTTTTAATATTCCTATTTAAAAGTCTGTTACACTTGACAAGGAAATTCCCGTTCATTAGTAAAAAGAATCTAACAAGAGCTAAAATTAGCCACTATAATATTCAATTAAAATCTATATTTTAAAAAATTCATCTATATTTTGGGTCCGTTTTACGGACATGCTAACGTATGGAAAAATCCCTAGATCCCCCGTCTGTCTGTGTTGGACGTCTTTTTTCCTCCCCCCCGGCCGCACAGTGGAAATCCCATCATGAAAGAAAAGGGGACTCTTTTCGTAAGATAATCCTCTTACCGGCATCTACAAAGCAGATTTTTCCTCTTTAATTAAGGTAAGGAGCAAAGCGTTTGGACGAATGCAATAATCGGCTTAGTGTGCTTGGAATGGTAAAATCCAGTAGCTAAACTATTAAAAAACATATTTACTATCTACATGCGCGACGACTCCCGTTCTGTACGACGTTTCGCAAGAAACGTATCCGATAAGAGCGCTCACCCTCCACGATAAAGCCTTTAGATAATTGACTCAAAAAAGCTCACGCGAAATAGGAAACGAAACGGTTGTTCTTTCCATCAAATTGCATTTTCCAGTCATCGGCCCCAACGCAAACAAGTGTGGGAGTATAGAACAAGAGACGCTAAATTCATTCAGTAAGAACAAAGAAAGAGCGACCTCACAGACAATAGTTTCCACGGCGCGGAGCCAACAGGTGGACAGATTTACCAACGGCCCAGCAAAAGGAGACGAAAAACCCACCACCACAAACACACGCGCGCGCACACACACATACACATTCGTACATTCATACTCTCCGTAACTTGCTCAGGCCGATAGAACAGAGAAGAAATAAAGTATCCAGTAGTTACCAGCAAGGCGATCCAAGGCAGGGGCAGCGGTAATCGCGTGGAGATGGACACTCCACCCCTGCCCTTCAGTAAGGTTTTCGTCAGTATTCCCTGTAGCAAGTGACGACTGAGGCCGGATGCGGAACCGCCCTTGGCTTTCAGTCTCCTGCTCAGGCGCTTGTTCGAATGCTTCACCTCCATGGGTAATGTGACTGTCGAAGCATCTACCAGGTTGTTGGGTGCGCCGGGAGGCCTGTCCCGAACCGCTGCAACGCAAGGTGCAAAGAGGTTAGAGCTGCCGCCAGATGCTAATAAGTGCCGAGTGCCGCTCTGTCATCGCCGACCAACACTTTAATCGATGTTCTGTCTAACCCGGAGTCGACAATCCGGGCGGCCGCCTACCCTACAGAGAAGGCGGAGGCCCACACCTATTCCTCCTCCTTACCACTACGGAATCAGAGGTCCGAGACTGGTAGCGCGAACTTCTGATCGGTTGGTAAGTCAATGTGCGAAACCGACCAGAAATAAAATAATAAAAAATGAAACCGCGAAATTGTTAACGAAAATCTCTCGTGTCAAACGAGTCACAAAATCCGGATATTTCGCTCTCGAATTCTTACCGATGCAACTGGAAAATTCCTCTTCAGACAGATTGCTGTTGCTAGGAGGCGCGTGGTTTGCCGCTTTCTCCGAAGAGATGGCACGCGCCTCTCTGCCATACGTCCAAAGAAGAGAATGATGAGCCAGTTAGAAAAAACGAGCCGAGATTGCAAAAGAACTCGATCAGCCGGCTTTCCAGAAGACCGATAGGGGAAGAAGGCATCAATTCAGCCTCTGAATCAACAAGCGTCGTTCGGAAGGACAGACTTGCACCACGGCATTGTAGTGTTGGTTGGGATGGCTGAGCGCATATAAGCCAACTTTCGAATAGAGAGCAAAAATCAGGGATGTACTTACATGAGCCGCGGAGATACTGAAAGGCCAAGTACCTTACTGAGCGTCTGACATTAACACAAACCGGAGACAGAGAAAAGCACACATAGCGCACTTTGCCATCACATTCTCAATGGCGCTAGCGGAGCCGAGTGCGTGTGTGAGGAGAACGGGTCGAGCCATTTACTAGCGGAGGGGAGCGCTCCTTTCTCGGCACGTTCCATTATTCTCCGGTTTCGTCGCGCGCCACCCGGGGAGAAACGCGTCTCTTACGCTCTACCTAGTAATTAAGGCTCAAACGGCCGAGGGGCTGCATTTTTCCGGAAGGGAAATCGATCGGGATCGTCTCGTCCCCATTCGTAGGCTGCCGGAAGGGGAAGAGGGACGGAAGTCTTCCGCTAATAGAGACGCGACGGTGGAGCCCCATTAACGCCATCCGCACGCTAATAGAGCTCCTTTAACGGGGAGCCGAAAGCCACCCTTCCGGTACTCCCCGCCAGGTTTTATTCTCGCCACCCGCGCCGAGTCGACCGATCCGCTCACCTAGAGTAAGTAAATCGACCTCCGACACTACGAAGCGCATAGCTCATGCGCACGGGAGGGCAAGATCGAGAAGAGGAGTCTAGGCGCGCGGGTTTTCCCACCAAAAATTTAATTACTACTAAGATAGAACGAAAAGATACTTACGCCAGACAGAGTTTTGATATTGTGGAGGGCATTCTGAGCTTCCAAGGCAGCTTTACGGGTGAAGAAGGTGACGAAACAACAACCTGCAAAAGAGAAGCACTTGTTGGAAGCGCCTGTATGGGATGCTTTCTCCAGTCACCCGCACTCTAGCGGGAGAAGCCAGCTTTTCCCGAGAGCGAGAGGTCGGCAACGGTTCGCCGTCGTTCATCGCGCCGCGTCGCGCACTAAAAATTTTTCCTCCTATGGATATTTGTTCTTTTGAAAAGAGGGATGGAGAAGGTACGGAATCGATGCTTCATTATCTCTCGCCACGCATCCGAAAGAGGAATAAATATTACACGAGGAAAACGATCGCATCTTCTTGTCTTTAGCAGAGACAATGCGTTTCCTCTAAAAACCATAACGCAGGTAAAACCGCGCGAAGGCAGCGCGGCGTAGAAAGAGACGAAAAAAGAATGCGCGGGAGAACAGATGGCGCATTTCAAGGACTTTTCGGAGAGGGAGAGAGGAAGAAAGAAAGCAAGAACGTGGAAAGAATGTTTATCAACCGAATCACGAAGCCATCGGAAATGCCGAAAACGAGAGCAACGTGCGAACGTCAACTGGTCTTCGCAACACGCAGAGAAGAAAGGCCAACAATAACCACAACGCAGGATGAGGAGAAATCGATCAGATTCGTGTCGTGGATGCCTTCTCTTCCTTTCGCGTTCCGATCGGACCGAGATTTTTTTATATCTCAATGGCAGTTTAATCCTCCAAGATCGAGACGCACGATTCGCATCCTCCCTCTCTCGGTGACAGTAAAAGTTGCTCTGTCAAGAGCGTGACGCACAGCGGAAAACGTAGATCAATATAAACAAACATCTATTGAAGCAGGGGCGCGAAAAACAAATCACGATCGGCGGCATCGCATGCTCTTCACTGTAAAGGACAAAATCGCGAGCCCAACAATGTCCGCGCAACTGGATAATTACCGGATAAAATCGCGACGGAAGGTAGAGACAGAAAAGAGGACTTAATCGTCTCACGGGATACAGCGGCAGACGTGCGACCATCGGATTCATCCATCACGCGAACTCGCTCTGCCCCTTCGAACGACACCCGATACGTTGACTGCCAAGAATCTCTTCCGTCTTCCTCCGTTTACAATGTCTTCTCATCATATACGGTTGCTTCCGATTCGCGCAATTTTATCGTCCGTATATCAGTAAAAAAATAATATAATAAAATATTCCTCCGATTACATCGATACGAAATCATCGATGATACCAATATTTTCCAGTTCTTGCATTCTAACAGAGTAGATATTGTGTCCAACCACTACTTTTCGACTACTAAAGACTTTTACCCGGTTGGCCAGTAATTACGTGCGTCATACTAATTAGAGCCGGCGGGAATTGGGAAAATTAACCGCTGCCATTTTAATTATCGGTGGCTAATGGATGAATCTTTCGACACTCACCTCCTCCTCCTCCTCTTCATCCATGTTATCGACACTACTCTTTTTTTCCCCTGGGAGCGACCAAAAAATAAATAAAAAATACTTTGCTTGGATCATCTTTTAGCTTTTCATTTCGATTATGATTATCCGATCCTTTAGATTACATTTCTTCTTTGTGAAAATCAACAGAGAGAAAGAGAGGGAAAAAATCTAAAACTGCGTAAGTTTAGAAGTAATGAGAACAAGTCCGCGGGGAAAAAATCTAGCGACGGTCGTAATCTGAAACCAGTTTCGTCTATCCGACCAACGACCTCTTCAGTACACTCTTGGGGAATGTTTCGACGGTAACTCCCCTATGATGAAGAAATTTGAGCTCGCATTTGGCTCTTCCAGTTGGAAAGTATCATCTCGTCGTCGTCATTATCATCTCTTACTCGTAGTTTAAAAATTAAACGCGTAAAATATTTTAATCGCGAGAAAATAAGATAATTTTCTCCTTACTAACCTTCCAAATTAAATCTCGAAGAAGTAAAACAACTCCGACAAAATAAAACGGATGTGATTACCGCTTATATTTAACTATCTCTGAGATGATGTAAGAAGACGGGCAGGTAGCATTTACGTCTTCTCCACGAAAGAACGGCAGAAGTACTCACTACTTCGCAGACATCGATCGGAAAGTGAAACTATCTAGTCTTGTTCGGAATGAAAGCTCAGTAGGACCTACCTATTCCGGACGATAACTTAAATAATCATATAAGGCGAAAAAGAATAAGCAAATGAGGTTCGAATGTCGAAAAAATCTGGATGGTCCCATTTTTCCCCAGAAAAAAGTCCAGAACTATATGATTCTATTTGTCTATGAGAGATTTCAAAAATTCAATACTCTCTTATAGTTCCGGGATCGGAAAACTGTGAGATTTCTTTCTTTCATTAAATTGAAGATGACTGACTTAAACCGCTTGAAAGCAACAATATGAAATTAATTTAATTTTTTAATTAATTAATTTTTTAATTAATTAATTTTTTAAATAAGGTATAATTTTTTTATTAACAAATACCCATAAATACTGTTAAAAGTTTAACAATTAAATGCTACGATTATTATTTTTAATTTTGTTAATTTTGGATATTTATCTTTATAAATGCATGATCTGCATATTTTCTAATGACGATATAACATCAAAAATCGGGAGGTTATAATGTGATGTAAGAAAGTTAAGATTTTTTTCGAAAGCAATTGTTAAAGTAAATCTGTCCAATTACTTCCGAATGTATTGATCTAAAATTTTATCCGAATGAATTAATCTAAAATTATCTAGTAGCAGTAATCATACCACGACGCGACTGGAAGAAGGAGACGATCGGTGGCGAGTCCAAAAGTAAGAAAGCGAATCAAGAGAGAAGAGCGACGAAACCATTCTGCTAGCTTGGACATTAATTGGGCATAAGTAGCATTTTTCATCCAGACAGAAAAAAAAGGTTTCAGGTTGCGTCAGAGGGTGCATCGATCTTCTTAAAAGTAAAGATGTCTCCACGAAGTCGTCATCGCATGTGAAAAAGTCTATCGAGCATTGTAAATAACCTTAGCACGCGCATACACCAGTTTGGCTTCGAGACGAAACAGGAAAAGGTTGCACAATTGGGAGATAGAAGAGGTCGAAGAGGATCTCGTTAACAAGTCGATAGCGAGTCGGAAAAAGCATCACCTGCCGTTCAGTTTTCCATAAATGAACGACAATGACGACGACTGCAGTCAATTACCAGCGGAGATCGTCGCTGTTTCCAAAAACAAGTCCGGGAGAGATTAGAACAAACTTCCCATAGACAGACGAAGGTGCGGAATAATGAAGTTAACTAAAAGAACGAAGGGGAGCCGCAATTCCATTTTTATACCAATTAATTCGGTGCGAGCCACTAAACAAAAGAGAATGATTCGCATCTTCTGCGAGGTCGAATAAAAGAAAACGGACGAGGGAGAGAAGTAGGGTAGTCTTAATCACCGGTCACTAATGGGCCAGACAGAATGGAATGGAGCGGATCCTCCGACACAAATTAAACGTGACGACTGCAAAGTCCAACTAACGAGTGGAGCGGTCCTCTACACCCGGGACCAATTAGTGAGACGTAATCTAGTCATCGGGACAAGGACTCTTGTCGCGGCTCTGAGAAAAACAAAATGGAAAAGTAAAACTCAAAAAGAAGAAGAGCGAATAATACATTTGAATGCGAAATAGTTCGAAAGCGAAATTTCGTCCACTCTTAGATTTCTAAAAAGATGAAAAAGGCCGTAGCGTTGGAAGTAAAATAGTGACTTACCTCGACTCTGTCCAGTCATCTTATCCCTTAGAACATTGATCTGATAGACAGGACCGAATTCCTCAAACATTTTCTTTAGGTCGTTCTCGTCCCATGCCCTAGGTATCTGACCCACAAACATTTTGATTGCGTCCGGATCTGGCTGGTCTTTATGGGGAGAGTTCATACTTCTGAAAACAGAAAACAATAATAATAAAAAAATTTTTCATTTCAACATAGAGAATTACTAAAGGCAATTTATGCGCATTTTATAAGAATATAAAAATGAATTAAGAAAAAATCACATGGAATTATACAAACAAACAATATGCGTTCATATTTTTATGTGATGTGTATTCATACGAATCGAAAATGACAAAAGTCGGACGATCTGTTTATTTATCCTATTGTTTGTTTGATGAATTAAAATATATTTATAGCTTATATAATATATACAAATTATATATTAAACTATAGAAAAAAATAGCAAATTAATATAGGAACAGTCCGTTAATTAGATGTACAATTTTTGAACCATTCTTGACACTCTCTCTCCCCTTTGTGTACAATGATGTACAGTACTTTTGGCAAACTCCTGCACTCTAATTACGTGTAAAATAATTCATGGACCCACCCGACATTGAAGAAATAACTTTAAAAAAATCTGCAAATATTTTTAGCCGATTATTTATTCACATGACTAGTAAGCAGACTTTTAAGAACAAATTCGCACGCCATTAATAACTAAAAAGAGTCCACGTAAACAATGTTCCTCGACCTCCGCCTCCCCGTCGTTACAATGATGTACTTTTCGCAACTCCTTCCCACCCTTAAACTGTACGTACACAGATTAAAGGGAGGGCTTACTGGACGTCCCCTTAGATCAGGGGTCTCAAACGCAGCAAAGGGCTAGTCAGATAGACGTATATCAGACGCAGGCCATATTCGATATTATTCGGTAAATTAAAACAGAAAAAATTCCAACTGTTTAAATAAACCATAAAAGCCTGGAAGCAAAAGAGTCTTTTTTTTTTTTTTAAATTGCAGTATGTTTTGATTTACCGAATAATATCAAATACAGCCCGCGTCTGATATACAAGAGGTTAGAAATATTGATTTTTAGAAATCATCAAGGCTGAGGGACGGATATGAAGCCTTTAACGGGCCGTATCCGACTCGCGGGCCGTCAGTTTGTGACCCCAGTCTTAGATAAAACAGATATATGTATTAATTAATCTCTCAATTAATTGCTTAACAGACTATATCAACAGAATAAATAATCGTAAATATAAAACTCTAAAATATTAATCACCTCTTAGAAAAATTTGAACCTGTAAGGTTTGACATCATACGCGACTCTAAGAACGATTGTTACATGAATTTAGAGAGAAAATTGTGGGTCGCAAAGTCCAAATTTCTGAAAATAAAAGCCGGAAAAGGCGAAGCAATATTTTAATTTTCTACCGTGAATGTGAAAAGGCCAGGCGGGTGGCCGGCGGCCGAAAGGTCAGCGGAGCGTCTGCCTGTGCCTGGCATCCATGCTTTATTCATGGATATCGGTGGACGGGGTCGGACCACCCGCTCGACCGCCGCCATCCATCACCTGAATAACTGTAAGCGACTGTAAGGCGACATTGGCGGTCGATAGTCTTCCCCTCTGCTTCCCCGTTTTAATTACTGGTTCCGTGGTTGTCGGAAAGTTCTCGCAGAGAGCTACGAATATCAGTCCGGCGAAAACGAACCAAAAATGTCGCGATCATTTCAAAAAATAAATTAGAAATTTAAAGCTGCATCCCTGATTCAGAAATCTCTTCAATCAATTGAGCTAATATGTTTAACGATATATAAAAACGTTAAATATTAAAAATCACACAATTCACTTCTCCGGAACGAAATATCTTAATTGAATAAATGTATATTTACTATTAAGGAAGCTGAATCAGTAGTCCGTTATAGCTTCATGGGGCCCAGCCAAATTTAATTGGGGGATCCCCATGTAGGTTACAGTATTGACTTCAGACATTTTTCTTAATGGGAAATTTTTTCGGGAGATTTTCATATAAAAGATTGATTTGGGGCCTCCTGTTAGTGGGGCCCGAGACAATTGCCTTTTTTTGCCCATAAGATGATGCGCCACTGAGCTGAAGCACCTGTCTAACACCAAAATAAGGGCCAATTTCTAGAGAGGTATTCGTTGACAGATCACTCGTGTTGCTTTGCAACAAGTGACAGTGCGAAAGTCCGACTAAAATGCAAAATAAAATGGCTTATGATTAAGAAATACAATGAATAAACTCGAGTAACAAGAAAAGGAAAACGACCCTGTTCTTGTACAATGAAATAAATGAACTTTATATATATATCGCTGGCGTTCGATTAGATTGGATTAGATCTGTTATATTATACAAGCAAGGCTAGTGGCGATCTATTTTGGTGAAAGCAGTGCGGTGCAGAAAGTCAGTTGATTATTTTCACTTGCAAATGTGTTATTAATCATTTCGGAATATTCAGATAAATATATAGTTTACTGTATGTTCTAATTAATTAAAATTATACATATTATATATATGTTCATTATATATACTATACTGTACTGTACTGTATATGCATACACATTCCAAGCACTCGAATAGACAGCTGTAGGTATATTTTTTTAAAAATTAGTTTTTGTGTTGGTGTGAATGGTTGCAGGGGGTCGTTAAATGCAAACCAAAAATTAATTCTAAAAAAGTAACACAGAGGACAACAAATGTGACAGAATAATTTAAACAATTGCAATTTTGAATAGATTGTTTATAGTAATCTTAATTTGTAGCTGAGGAATCTAATTCGGATAAACCCTCAAAATGTTTATTCAAGTACTGTGAGTTTATTTTTTAAATGCGACCGGTTTTTATGCGGATTTATTCGAGTCTGTGAAGTACTTGAAACCTGTGAATTTAATCGAATGCGTATAATTATATATACAGAGCAAATCAAAAGTCCCTGCGCCTTTTTCATTCCAAACGTACTAAAAATATATTAATTTTGTTAATGTAATTGCATAAGAACTCATGTATGAAGAATCGGATGGGACCTTTTCTTGATGATCTTTAAAATGATTTTCAAAATCAACAAAAACGTCCCATTGGATACTCCATACATGACTTCCTATGTAATTACATTAACAAAATTAATATATTTTTAGTGTTTTTGGAATGAAAAGGGTGCAACGGACTTTTGACTCACCATATACATATATATAAACACAAAGAAAATATAAACTTTGTGAGGCCTCTCTATATAATTTTAGCCTGTACACACTTCCGTTACTGTGCAAGAGTATTAAGGTCGATTTCAATTATTTCTATTAATTAAAGACGAGCCTGATTTGCATGCAAGATGGAACAAACGTGACGATCTAACTTCTAAGAAAATAAAATTACGAGGAATGTTATCTCTCAAGACGGCAAAATCCTTCATGTGGCTATCCAATCGACAACGTCATTTCGAAGAGATCAACATATTCAAAAATAGCCATTCTGATTTTTATGGTCCGAACGGGCAGCGAGACATTAAACGCTTATACTCCGTGGCGATATTTGTTAAATATTACGAGTCATTAATAACGAGGCGATGACGGATGAGGGTAGGTTAGCGGCACGCAGTCCCGAACGGGCCAACTTTAATTAACCCCCGGAGTTAAGGTTATTGGGAAGCAGATTAATAAAGCGTTCTGCCACCAGGGGGAGCGGTCCTAAAGACCAACTTCTCTCCTCATTAAAGCGTGAAGTATGCATGGCCATCCATCAAGCCTGCTGATTCGAATACTTATAACGACTCAATCGGCAGATACCATTAATTCAACTTTTTGATGAGACCAATGAGGACGGGTCGATCTTTACAGGCGGGAATTTTAAATCATTAAAACTTGACCGCATTATCCGTCAGGCTCGTAAAAGATTGCGACAGTTTTAATTAAATCAGTTTACTTAATTGCTTTCAATTGACATGTAAAGGTGGGACCGAAGCAAATCGATTCAAAATAATAGCTAAAGTAAACTTGTAATTATTCTGTTTTACATGTGATACTGTTTCTAACATCATCTCTCGAAGTCTTAAATTGTCTCCATTCGAAGAAACAAGATAAAACGATAGTAAAGTTTGTTTTTACAAAACTCCTGGAAAACAACATAACTTCTTTCTGTTCTGAATATTTCTTAAATTTTATCACACGCATGATACATATTATCATTTGTGACTTTTGAAAGTAAGCAATTGTTTATTTCATGTCTTAACTGACATTCTCACTGCTGAAATAAAGACGATTTGGATTATAATTTTTACAGAAATTACCATGTTTTATGATAGAATGTTTACATATTTAATTCACGTTTATATTAGGAATACCTTGAAAATATGCCTTACAAATTCGTAAGGCACATTTTGAGTATGCTTCATGTGAAACAGATAATATTTAAAATCTGTAGTTTATATCAAATAATATATAAAATTCCAGACATTCAATGTGCAGTTCAAAGAAAAACACGGTAGCAGATATGAAATTACAAGTAACCAACGATGACGACGCAATTTTTCGTAAAATAATAAAACATACCTTATAAGAGAAGTTTAAACTGACTTAGTAATCATTCGTAGTTACAAATATCATTATTTAACAATACATCAAAACCAAATCGAGGTATAGAAAAGATGAAATCAATAGGTGAATTAATAAGCATTCATCTTAAATACTAGAGCACAGCTTAAACAAATGAAATCCACATAAAATAACAATTTTAGCCTGCCAAATTAATTAATATAGAAAACGAATTATTATTTGTAAAACAAAAATCAAGAAAAATTAGAAAATCAGACAGTACAGCTTTAAGTAAATATAATAGTAACAGTAAATATTCACTTTATACTAATAACCTGGATTCGATGAAAAGGATACAAAGGGAAAAAATCTAGATACGGGAACGATTTCGAAAGAATACAGTCAAATTTTTGTATTCGTTTATTCTTATTCAGAATTTTTGTAAATTAAATTACTTCAACCAAAAATATTTGAAAATAAACATTCACATCAAAAGCGTTGTATTCAATATTATGGAGTGAGTATTGATGTTCATAGGAAACACGATTTTTCATTTATGATAAAGTTCCTTTAAATACCACAAACAATTTTAATTGCATTATAACAGAGTTATCAAACGTCCCCGATTTTTCGGGACTGTCTCAGTTTCGCCTGCTTTTAATATCTGATTGTAGAATCAGTCTTTGAATAGAGCAATTTTATTAGCACATCAATATACTATCACCAATTTACAGATAAATTAGTTAATTAATTAAAAAAGTAGCTGAAGCTCAATCAGTTTTATAATCATTTTCATTGATTCCGAAATATGTCACACCTTAGTTGGAGTGTAAATTTTGAATAATATGTTCCGCTAAATTATAAGAAATGTTAGAATTAAATGTATTTTTTTGTCTTAATATTAATCGTCTTCGTTTTCTAAATCCGGGTTAATAAGAGAATACACAATTCGTCACAATTTATGTGCTCGTTTAACCAATAAAAAAAAGAACAGTACATACTGTAAGCCGAAAGACACTGGTTTTTAACAAAAAATTTGGATGCCTTACTTTATAGAAAAGCTTTTTCACGTTAAATTATTTACGTATGAACTAAACTTTAAAATTTTCTGTATAAAATATGTTTTCGTCTTTTATATATCTGAATGACATATATTATAACATATATGCCAAAAAATAAAATAAAAGAGAAACGAAGAAATGAGAACAATCATATCGTTCTTAATAATATTTAACTAGAATAAATAATAAAAAAGAACTTTCTTTTGAAAGATTAAAATTTCTAACGTATTAAAGAACAGTTCAATGAAATATATAATTATCATAACATCAGAATATATATAGTTAATTTCAAATAATAAACTATATTTACTCAACAAATTAAAAATTAATGAGAATTTAGCAATAAGCTAATCTAGCCAATTAAGAATTACAAAAGTAGGCTAGATTAATGTAAATTATTATTTGGAGAAGAAAAGTTAGCAATACTATTGTCCTCCCGAGGAAAATAGCTTTAAATAAAAACCAATTATTAGAAGATTAGAAAGGAATTGGAAAGGTTTCCTACCGAGTAGAAAAGCCGAAAGTATAAATCAATCGTATAAAATTTGAAAATGGCCAAGATGAAAATATCATTAAATTTTAGGTCATCTGAACACAAAATTCTGTAAGTGATAAGTGAGTAAACCTAATTTTTCTATTTAAATAAATAAATAAATAAATACAGTATTGTTATATTGAAAAAATCAAAACGTTTTGTTAAAAAGAAATTCTACTTATTAGTTACTTATGATACTTGAAAATTCAAAAACAGGAAAAGAGAAAATCTCACTGGACCAAAATCGAAAAAGTATACGTTCAAATCTATTCGAATAGAAATTTTCTATTACACTATTCCTTTTTGCTTTATTTTATTTGATTATCATGTTTTCTTTCCATTAAAGGAAAAAAAAACAATCGCTTGGTGACGAATTATCTTTCTACTGTCGACACGAATACTACAAAAGAACGTTAGAATGAACAAATGTTCTGTCAGAGAAATGAAGAAGCCGAATGAACGAGAATTGAAGTAGAACAACATTGTTTATTCATAAAATATGCCCATTCTACGCACATTTATCATATAGCAAACTTTGAGGAGAAAAGTTCTGAAGGCAAATTGGGAAAAAAAGCACGGGTTTAATACTATTTAATGCTTTATAAAGTGCAACTCTAGCCATTTAGCCGAGATTTCCGCGCTTAGAGTCGTAAATTTGGATAATCGGTCGAATATCATAAAATCACTCTACGACAAACAAGAAAAAAACCTTCGATCCGATAGGGGCAGAAAATGGTTGAAATTTATCCGACCAACTATCGATTAAATCATTAGTTTTGCACATGACCTTTCGGCCATCTCGTTAGACAGAAAATGAAAAATTCCTTCGAGACAGGATTAGTACGGTTTCAAAAAGACCACAATTCGTACTATAAAGAACAGGCTTCTTTCTTTTTTTTAACAAAAATTATATTATAAGAATGGTGTTCGATTCCGAAAAAATTTCCAAATTGTTGCCAAAATAATTCTTGCTAATGAAATTAAATCAACCTTCAAAACTATAGATCCATTATCATGCATCTAACGCAGTGTTTTTCAACCTTTTTGAATACGCGACCCCTTTACAAGTTAAAAAGTTTTGGCGACCCCCCTAGGACGATATTAAAACTATATCAGTGATTTTAAAAATTATGTATTTAATTTTCTTTCTGTTCAGAGAAATTATTGTTGACTAAAATGAGAATTTAAGAAGGATCGACAATAACTCATGACACGTATGGTATACTTCCCTCTCATAGGAACATTGAGTTCGGAGGGAGTGCTGTTGACCTTTTTATTTTAGGACGACAGTTTTTAACTTTTACTTTTTTACTTATTACTTTTTTTTACAAATCAGCTCAGCACTTTTTCGGCTATCATTTTCTGGCCCCTCCCTGGCGAAACCCATCATTCACACCTAAATGTCAATCAAAAAACCAACTGTACTATATAATAAACACATACAGCTTTTTCGCCGAAATTGTAGTTTTTTAATATAGTGTAGGACCTACAAACACTTGTCTTTTTTTTACCCGCGACCCCCCGTGTAAGGCTTTGCGACCCCCAGGGGGGTCGCGACCCACAGGTTGAAAAACACTGATCTAACGAATTAAGGGGATAGCAATAACAGATCATCATCATCATCATCAAGAGGAAACGTTATTCAGATATTCTAAAATATTTTATTTTTATAAGTAAGCTGTTAGAGACTTGTTTCATCCATTCCTCTAAAAATGCAGCCTTGCATAACAACAGAATGTTTCCATAAAGTAAAACATCACTATCGTCTCCTGCCACCCTCTTAACAGTTTACAGATAGAAACGACGCGACACGTTCCGGTAATTGGTCGGAGGGGCAAAGGATTTTCCCACATTAAAATTCTGCGACGGGAAGGTGTATTTATGGATAACATCGCGATAAATTGAATCCATAGTCAGATTTATGACCATACTAACGGCTTCTCGTTTATCATGCTTTCGCGCTACGATGTCGCGTCTCCATCCAATAGAGAAACTCGCCGGGTCACATGACCTCATTGTCTCTGATACGATTGGATTCGAGCCATTTACTACGACGTCACTTAGAATCTCTTTAACTACCGAACAAAGTTACACGCCGGGAGAGCGCAGAGGTAAATAACAGCGTGAAGCGAGTGGAAAATGAAACGTCTCCAAAACGGATTTCCCTTTGGCGATCTTTCCAGAAGAGCAGAATGGGGGAGGCGAGAATCGACGCAAGTGGCAGAGATTGCCAGAGAAGGAAAATCCTGCACGGCAGATTGGAAAAATTTCCCTGGAGGAAAGAAATTTCCCTTTCCTAGTGGAAAAGCTAAGAAAAAAAATTGCAATAGCGTATTCGGATATAAGCGCCAACAGTCCGTCACATCTCAAAAATGACACGATAATATTCAGCAACATTGTATATACTTTATTTTCTCCGATTTCCATTAAATACTTGTCTCTTGACGGATTTACTAAAATCCAAATCGCAGAAAATTCTTTTGTTATAAATTCGGCGAATTCACTATACGCAGTCAAACATAACTTCTCACCAATTGAACTATAAACGAAAAAGACTATCAATTTACAAAATGCATAAGTTGCCTCATAAATGGATGACAATTAGTGCGTTAAATGAGGAAAATCAGCTCCAAAAAGACAAGAATTTTGGGTAAAATGAATTTTTTATAGATGAAATTCGATGAGCGACGTGACTCGGCAAATATAATTCCTAGCGTATAGGTGGAGGGCGGTTATCTGCGACGCACGTACAGTTTAAACAAAGAGCAGATGGTTGCAACACCGGCGCTAGCAACCGAAACAACACAAACTCCTGCGAACGAGTAGTCCGAACTTATTTTCTTTGCCAAACAAAAACAGAATAAAATTGGATATGGGATAATTCTACCTGGGACAGGAAGTATCTCGGACACGCGATCTGCCAGTCCCACGTGTTGCATATTCCGCCCTCCGATTGCTGCACCGCCTCATTTGCCGGCGGAGAATCGCGTTTACCACAGATTACAGCGCCCTTCCACGCCTACAGCATTATCCGTTCTCGCTCTAATTACATACCGTGTTTGGGGTAGTATCCGATCGGCCAAGGCTTCCATTTTCGACAAGATGGGATCGGCCATATCGTTGTAGTTTTCGACGCTTCGCTACGTCGCTCACCGAAACTGTTTAGACCAGACACTCGACCGTTATCAGAAAGAGGGGAAAGAAGGGGGAAGCGCTCGGCCCAAAGTTCAAGCAATCCCGATAACGGAACGCGGAACATTGTGTATCAGCAGTTTCGATCCCGCTGGCAATACGGTATATCCGCACCATCCATTGTACTTATAAAAATTACAGTTAGTTTAAAATAGAATTATGGCTTACTACAGAATTAGCAAAGTTTTACGAAACCAATTCTGATCGTTTATTTCAAGATTCCGTTCGGAAAATGTGTGTAGATAAATGACTCTGAGCAAAATGCTAGGGACAGTTTGGGTGGTTAGATAACACTAAAAGCGCGCGATTATCGTTGAGATATCCCGCAACGTTTATAGAAAGATAAAACGATTTTGCGAAGGGGAAAACATATAGAAATAACGCCTATACGCCTTAGAGAGAAAAGACACGGTGGAAAAAAGTCAGTATTAACCATCTGTCCACTCCATTAACAAAAGATGCAATCGAAATGCTCTCGAAATACGACTCTCGACAGGAAAGAAAGCGGGGGAGCAGAAACAGCAATTACTGGTGATCCAGACAGTCAATAGCGCTTCCCCATCCAATTAAGTCTCAGATGATGTGGATTCGAACAACACATTGATGAATTGGTCGAAGGTGTTTTAGTCCAATCAATTTTAACTTATTGATGTCTTTGTGGTGTTTAAAAAACTTTTTGCCATAAAATTTTAAAGTGAAATCCAATGAACGTCTGTAATGTGTTTATTAAAATAAGACGAAGCAATAAGCAACTTTTAAGCTTTCATTTAATCTCTAAATGAACACGACTCCTACAAAACACTAGCACTTGAAGAGTGCGGAAGGTACGCATCAAAAACGCCGATAGCAATTTTAATCGATAGAAGCCGTTTAAGTGGTCTTTGCGATCGATGAAAAGCACGTCCGATATCTTAAAGTGTGGGATATAATGTGAGGTTATCGAATCACTCTCACAAAACGTGCGCTTTGCCATCGATTAATTCCGGCAGCGGAAAGAAAGAGGTCATTATAAATAATTAACCTGTTTAATAGCGTCATAAAACGAGGAGTCCGAGATTTTTGATCGTGTCCTTTTGACACGGGGTAATTACTCGGCAAATGGAATTCGAAGGATTGCTATCCCGAGCCACGGAAGCAGCAGTCTGTCTTTGGACTTTAGGTACATACATGCAATTAGTCGAGAGTGTGAATGACCACGCTGCCACCGAGCATGACTGGGAATGCCTTTCGCTCCATTCCTTCCATTATATATTAACTTCTCCATCTCGAGCAGCCGCGTAATTAGGAAACTTTATAAGGTAGGATCTAACAATAACATCCACTATGTATCCATGAGTTACTTTGGTAGGAATCCGGATCATTAATCTGAGAAAATATTCGGAAAATTTTCGTATAACTTTCTATTTTTATCAGAATAATTTCGATATTTAGCGCTTTAGTCAGAAGGCCTCGACACGACACGACACGAAGGCCTGACACGAAAACTCGGGTAAAATGGAAATTCGTGAACCTTCCGTAAGTCCAAATGAATATCGACTTCATTCATTCTTCCTACTCCGGAAGGAAGGAAAGAGCAAAAGTCATCGATTGTTTGCCAACGACAACACGACATACATATTTCACCGTCCAGTTAGCCCGACAGCGTGAATGCCGATGGATTACGCTAGTAGCAAAGCCGGGCTAGTTGGCGATCGAATCCCTCTACTCGAACTTAGTTATCACGATAATCTGCTGCCTGTCAGAATTAAAGCTCCTCCCGCTGTCTCTCCACCTGCGCCACATCCTAGGTCTTCCGTCTCTTTTTCCCTTTTCCTTTACTACAATTTCCCTGTCTTTTGTCTTTTACCCGAAATGTATTTAGCAACGAACTAACCGATTATGAGAGACGCGATCGAGTTACGCGCGGAGTAATGACTGTAAAATGCGCAACCTCTCGAAACTTGTAGTCGTGTATCGAGCGGCTTGAATCGATGTGCTCAGCCAAACCGACGCCCTTCCGTGTTCGATTAGCATCTTCCGACCTAATTTAGCGTGGCCGAGAGTATGACAAAAATTTATCCGAAACTGAGTTAACCAGCCATTTTCTCTTTTCACATATCATCGTAAGAATACAATTTTAAAGCGACAGGAACAAAACGAATAAAATCATCTTCCTCGCCCATTTCTGTGAATGTTTTAGTTGACCACAGGAAAAACCCGAACAGTATTTTCCTCGTCGATAGTGCCGCTCAATTTTTCAGCTTTTCCCAGTTTTATTACCTAAAATAAACGTTAATTTTTAATTATTAGATAAGCCAAAAATAAATCTTAATTCTCTACTTATCAATGGTAGCCCATTATCCCATATCATTCCTATATCAATCAACCTAAACCTGGAAATTTTGTGCTAAAAATATCTAAATTAATAAGGATAGTTGACGTGAACCGAATCATAAAATTGCAGTGGAGTAAAGTGACCAGTACAGAAATAGCACTTTAAAATATCTGATTAAATGCTTCTAATTTCAGCTGTAGTCCCGTCTAAAAAAGCTGTTGCATTGTATTTTTCTTAACTTCCTGGTGACAGCAATTTAATAATTAAAAACTTTAAACTTAATTATAAGGAAAAAATCAATGGCATAATTGACAATCAAAAATATCGATTCCTAGGAAACAAAACGGGTAGAGGGATTCCAATCCCAAGATATCCTTCATCACGGAACGAAGCGGCAAAAAACCTTCTAGTGAATTGTACTTTTCGAATTTCAGAATATCAGATCGATTACTACGTTCATGTAGGAAAGCATTTTTGAACGGCTAGAATCAGAAACCCAACGAAATGGGTCTCATTTTGCGGAATTAAGCTGTCCAAATGGATTTTGACAACTTCCTGTTGCTGTCACCAGCAGTGGTGTAATTGAAAAAAAGCGAGTAATGGAACGATTCCCCTTCCGAAAGGGGGCGAAAAAGTGCATTTACAGAATTAAGATGTAAAGAGAGAGGGTGGATAGATAGATAGATAGAGAGAGAGAGAGAATAGGGAGATGAAGAAGAAAAAAGGTTCCGCGTCAATAATGCATTTTTGCTTTCTTCTTGTTTTTGCTACTCGGCCGCGTGTTCGAGCAACACATAAAAGAAAAATAACGAGACTCTTACAGTATCATTACGAAAAGAACTTCCCATTATATAAATCGCCATAATTGACCAGACCAATCGTACCGGCTTTTAAGTTAGTTGGCAAGCAGATTTCGATCGATATGAGCTGTCAGAAAAACTACGGGTCCGAAACCTACGAAAGAAAAAAAAAAGAAGATCGAGCGTATCGTGTAAGGCTACCGTCGGAATACGAAACGAAGCAGAACGGGCCGTAACCGTTGGGTCCGGTTGAATAAATGATGCGCTCGCCCACGTGACAAGACGATCCTATTTCCCGCCTTACCGTCAAGTCTCGTTAGATAACACGGAAAAACACATGTAAGTCTTTGAGAAGCTTCGACCGCCCCACTCGACCCGACCGACACACGCTGAAAGTCAGGATATTGTAAATCGTTATTCAATCGATACGAAAGAAAAGGATGGGTGGAGAAAAGTAGGTTAGCACCGACGTTGTATGGGCCCGATCATTTAAAGGGAGATAGAGAGACTGCAACGACTCAACAGCAGAAAAAAGAGGGTCTTCTGCAACGACGCTAAAGAAAACTCTCCAGTTGTGACGACCAATCTCAGACGGATTCAAAATCAATCAACCAACGATGTCTGTAAGAGATTGTTCGACTGGGCAATGCAGAGCTTTTTTTTTTTTCTTTCTCTTTTCTCGATGTCCACATTAATAACAGTACGCACTTCTTCCCTTTCAAATTATGCTTATTGTAATTAAAAGCTTCGTTAAACAGATGTTTAAGGACTAGATATTTCGATTATAAAAGTAAATAATAGCCTAGTTTATGCCTTTAACAGTAACAGTTTAAAATTTCTTTTATTAATTTTTACTTTAGCATAAATGTCAGAAATGTATTTATTTATTCAATAAATTCTAGAAAGCGAAAATGTCGAAATATCATTAACATGGATTATGCACAATCGTTTAAAGGGTCCCTCACCTACATTCTATACCAGTGCAGCAATTTTCGACAACTACCACTGTGGGACTGTACTTCTCTTCCATCGTCATTCGATAAAGACCTATTGCTAACGTAAACAAAACTATCCACAGCTATCTAAGTGTAGCGGATAACACTTTGGATACCATTACGTCAAGGATTTTTCTGACAAATACGGACAATCTGGAGAATACAATCGAGATATTTATGTTAACATGACGCCTGCGGGATGAAATGCTAACAACATAGTTAAATTATTGCTTATTTTTATCTAGTAAAAGGCTTCCGATCGTGGAATAAATTCTACAGCAGTGACTTAGAGAAATATTGGAATCAATTTTTGAAGCGTTTCCAATTATTGAGCCGTTTGTCAAACTGAATTATGAGTTCAAAACTATTTATTAATGGTTTTCAGCGCATTTAGGCGTAAGAACATTACTATTTCTCTTTTTTTATTTCATTATTACTATTATTATTTTGTAACTGATTTCATCTGGTTTTGAAGCTCTCCAGCAGGAAAGTTTTCCTCCAGCTACCAAAACAGCTTGCTCGAAATGACTTACACTGTCGAATTGTCTAGTCGGTGGAGATGTGCCGAGCTAAAATGCCCCAAGGATTTTCAATTGAGTTTAGATCCAGATTCGTGATTGCTAGCCGAGAAGGGAGAATATTATGAGAATAAAAGCAGAGTTCTGATATGTTAGATCGATAAGATAGACATAATATCGCAAAGACGCATAGAAAATCGTTTCCGATTTTTGCATAAAATGGCTTTCTGGCATCATGTTTGATAATCGTTTTTTCAGGTTGTTTGAAAGTTAAATTTTGATACTTAAATAATGCTTTCTTTTCTCCACTACTAATTCCCAAAATTTCCGCAATGGCCCAGAACTAGATTGAAAGGCATTATTCTTTATATTAGAAATGTTCTGTTCTGATGACGGAGCAATTAGCTCCGTCATCAGAACATGTAGAGTAGGTAAAACCGTTTCCTTGAGATTGTCGGAAAAATTTGTTTCTTTTCATAGCTTGGTGTCGGTATTTTCTGGTAAA